AAGGCCAATTCTACTTTCAGCTGGGACACTTATGAGTACACTGACCACTATGAAATTTGATGGTTCGCGTACTATTCATGAGCATGTTATTGATATAAGAAGCATTGCGGCAAAATTGAAATCATTGGGAATGGTTGTGGATGAAAATTTCCTGGTGCAGTTCGTATTGAACTCATTACCGTCTGAGTATGGTCCTTTCCAAATGAACTATAATACCATGAAAGATAAATGGAATGTGCATGAATTGCACAGTATGCTAGTTCAGGAGGAAACCAGACTCAAGAATCATGGAGCTCATTCCATCAATTATGTGAAGCATCAAGAAGCTGAAAAGAATAATGCTAAGAAGCATGAGAAGAAAGGAGGAGGAGGAGGATCCCTTAAGATGAATGAGGCCTCTTCTTCTAAAATCCACAAAAAGGAACATAATGCAAAGAGATGCCATTTCTGTAAAAAGGAAGGGCATTTCAAAAAGGATTGCCTGAAACGTAAGGCTTGGTTCGAAAAGAAAGGTAAGCCTAGTGCTTATGTATGTTATGAATCAAACCTAGCTGAAGTTCCTTATAATATTTGGTGGATTGATTCTGGTTGTACTACTCATGTTTCTAATACAATGCAGGCATTCCTTATGACCCAAACCACAAGGCCAAATAAAAAGTTTGTCTTTATGGGCAATAGAGTGAAAGTTCCGGTGGAAGCTGTTGGGACGTACCGTTTGATTCTCGACAGTGGATTTCATTTGGACTTATGTGAAACTCTTTATATCCCTATTATATCTAGGAATTTAGTTTCAATTTCCAAACTTGATGTTGTTGGATACTCTTTTAAATTTGGTAGTGGTAGTTTCAGTTTGTACAAGCACAATCATTTGATTGGCAATGGTACTTTGTGTGATGGATTATATAAATCATGTCTTGATAATCTTTTTGCTGAAACGCTTATGACTCTGCATCATAATATTGGTACTAAACGTGCCTTAATTTATGAATGTTCTGCTTACTTGTGGCACAAACGTTTGGGACACATTTCCAAAGAAAGAATGAAAAGATTGGTGAAGTATGAAATCCTTCCGGATTTAGATTTTACTGATTTGAATGTTTGTGTGGATTATATTAAAGGAAAACAAACAAAGCACACAAAGAAATGAGCCACAAGAAGCACTCAGCTTCTTGAAATTATACACACTGATGTATGTGGTCCGTTTGATGTTAATGCTTTCAATAAAGAAAAATACTTTATCACCTTCATTGATATTATTCACGTTATGGTTATGTCTATTTGTTGCATGATAAGTCTCAAGCTGCAAATGCTTTAGAGATTTATATTAATGAAGTTGAAAGGTAATTAGATAGAAAAGTGAAAATTGTCAGGTCTGATAGGGGTGTCGAATATTATGGAAGGTATGATGAAAGTGGACAACATCCGGGTCCATTTGCTAAATTCCTAGAAAAGCGTGGTATTTGTGCTCAATACACAATGCCCGGTACACCACAACAGAATGGTGTATCAGAAAGGCATAATAGGACCTTACTGGATATGGTTAGGAGTATGTTAAGCAATTCTTCTTTACCTGTTTCATTGTAGACTTATGCTCTAAAAACTGCCATGTACGTATTAAATAGGGTTCCTAGTAAGTCAGTTCCAAAGACTCCTTTTGAACTTTGGACTGGAGGGAAACCTAGTATAAGACACCTGCATGTTTGGGGTTGTCAGGCAGAGATTAGATACTACAATCCGCAAGAAAAGAAACTGGATGCAAGGACAATCAGTGGTTATTTCGTTGGTTATCCAGAAAAGTCGAAAGGGTATAGATTTTACTGTCCTTATCATACTACGAGGATTATTGAATCTGAAAATGCAAGGTTCATTGAGAATGGTGAAGTTAGTGGGAGTGAAATACCACGTAAAGTGGATATTCATGAAGTGAGAATACAAGTTCCATTGACTTGTAGCTCTAGCAAAGTCGTTGTTCCTCATGTTATTGAACCAATCAATAATAATGAAGGACGAGTTGATGATCCCACTACTCATGATGAAATCATTGTTGATTAACCAAGTGAACCCATAGTAGAAGAACCACAACAAGTAGCATTAAGAAGATCTCAAAGACAAAGGAGATCTGCCATTTCTAATGATTATGTGGTATATCTACAAGAGTCTGAATTTGACATAGGTGTTCAGGATGATCTAGTAATGTTTTCACAAGCCATGAATGGTGATAAGTGGATAGATGCATGAAAGATGAGTTGAAATCTATGGAACAGAATAAGGTTTGGAATCTTGTTAAGTTACCAAAAGGGTGCAAGAGAGTTGGTTGTAAATGGGTCTTTAAGACCAAACGTGACTCTCATGGTAACTTGAAACGTCACAAGGCCAGACTAGTTGCAAAAGGATTCACTCAGTAAGATGGCATTGACTATAAAGAAACTTTTTCACCAGTTTCAGAGAAGGATTCTCTAAGAATTATTATGGCATTGGTGACGTAATGAAGATGTGTACATGGACCAACCAATGGGGTTCATAGAAAAGGATAAAGAGCACATGGTGTGCAAACTTAAGAAATCAATATACGGACTTAAACAAGCTTCACAACAATGGTACCTTAAGTTTAATGATACTGTTGTTTCCTTTGGATTTAAAGAAAACATTGTTGATCGATGTATATATTTGAAGATCAGTGGGAGCAAGTTTATATTATTGATTCTGTATGTTGATGATATTTTGCTTGCAACTAACGATCTTGGTCTTTTAAATGAGACTAAGAAGTTTCTTTCTAGTAACTTCGAAATGAAATATATGGGTGATGCAACTTATGTGATAGGAATAGAAATATTCCGTGATAGATCACATGGACTGTTAGGTTTGTCTCAGAAAGCATACATTAATAAAGTTTTAGAGAGATTCAGAATGAAAAACTGTTCATCATCTCCAGTTCCAATTCAGAAAGGATATAAGTTTAGTTTCATGCAATGTCCCAAAAATGAATTGGAACGAAAAGAAATGGAAGCAATTCCGTATGCATCATTAGATGGGAGCTTAATGTATGTTCAGATTTGTACGAGACCAGATATTAGCTTTGCAGTTGGGATGTTGGGAAGATACCAAAGTAATCCCGGTATGGATCATTGAAAAGCTGCAAAGAAAGTTCTGAGATATTTGTAAGGAACTAAAAGTCACATGCTTACTTATAGAAGGTCTAACGACCTTAAAGTGATAGGATACACAGATTCAGATTTTGCAGGATGCGTAAACACAAGACAGTCTACATGTGGTTACCTGTATCTTTTAGCTGAAGGAGCTATATCATGGAAAAGTGCGAAGCAGTCTGTAATTGCTGCGTCCACTATAGAAGCTGAATTTGTGGCATGCTTTGAAGCCACAGTTCAAGCTAAATGGCTACGAAACTTTATTTCAGGGATTGTATTGGTCGACAACATTGAAAAGCCGCTGAAAATTTATTGTGATAATTCCGTAGCAGTCTTCTTTTCTAAAAACGACAAGTATTCCAAAGGTGCTAAACATATGGAATTGAAATATTTTTCCGTTAAAGAAGAGGTTCAGAAGCATAGAGTGTCTATAGAGCATATTAGCACCGATCTTATGATAGCTGATCCCTTGACGAAGGGATTACCGCCCAAGACATTTACTGGTCATGTATGTAAAATGGGCATTATGTCAGCTAGTGAATGATGATACTTATTGTTATGTATTAAATGTTGACACTCTGAGCTCATTGATGAATATATGTTTATGATATTGTCTTGTTTTCAATTTATGTATGCATGCAAGTATATGTGATGATATTGAAAATATTTATGGTCCATAATGAAGACATTATTGTTGGACATAATGTGCACTTCCTATTAAAGTATCATGTTCGAAAGAAGAGTCAATATAGTGGTACATGGAAGGGACTATGTCGACTTGATAGCATAGAACCGCCATGACTCATGTTGATTTTATTTCTAATAAAGAATTTATGATGAGGTCAATGTATGGAACCTTTAGCCTAGTAAATGCGCATTATAATGAATTTTGATTAAATCATGAAGGGACACCTCATGACATGAGCCAAGTGGGAGAATGTTAAATCTTATTTGTCTCATGTATAATATTAAGTGTTATCTGATTTAATTAATAAAAGGGCATAACAGTAATTGACTGTTAAGGAAGTTATTTAAAGTGTAACTGTTGATAGGTGCAGTTATATATTGATAGGTGCAGTTATATAATAGGTAATGAGGAGTTTCTTATTATTGAGTCTTTTTGAGAAACTGACGATCAATCTGAGTCTGCCTATGAGCGTTGTATCCCATCCCTATCAGAAGAAGATACAAGAACATAAAAGGATCAAGACTCTGAGAAAGTATTTTACCGTTAAAGATCTTCCGCATTTATGGACAAAGGTATGTTTATGTGAAACTCATGAATTCTAAAGATCCTCTTTCATGTTCTTGATGTGATTATTGTTGAACATGAAGTATCGACTAAAAGCTTACAACTTTTAGTTTTTTTTCTTTTAACTCATTTTCCGGAAACTCATTCGTCCCATTTAACATATTTCTTTCTTTCAAGCACGTCTAACCATAGCCAACTTACAGTTTCGTTGATCTTACAATTTGCGTGGAAAACCAAACGCTAGGGATTATCATGCAGCAATAACGTGTATTTCTACGACAAAAATAGAAGATATTTAATAAAGAACTCTAATAATGTATGTGCAACATAATTATGAAGAAGAGGACTTCAAGTTGAAAAGTTGAAGGAAATTGTTGCCCAGAAGCTCATCGAAATTCCAAAGAACTAACATGCATATATCTTGCCGTATTTATCCTGGTATCGAAGCTACAAAAATGAAGAGATATAAGCCATCAACTCAACTCTGATTTATATATAGGCCATGAGTAAATGAGGCAGAACATTGTTTCAAGGATAACGAGTGTTGATTTTCTGAAGCTACGACCCTTTAATGGTTGGTGCAATGAAAACTACAGAAATGCTAAATTCTCATAAAAATTTCATCCAAATAATCATCTAATTTCTAAAGAGGAGATAAAGAAAAAACAGAGAAGACCAATTTAAAACTCTCAAAACTTCAAATGTTATTAAATATACACTTCTTTAGCATTCCTCAAATTATAAAGATTGCTGGTAAGTAGAGATATCATAAATAATCTATCTACCACAGATTGGTCTTTGTCATAACCAAAAAGACATCTCAATCAGGAATTTGATCATAGTCTCCATTCTCAGGAGACTGGTGTGCCCCATCACCTGTTCTTCCTGCATTCAGAAAACCTCACTTCAGTCTCCTGTCTAAACACGCCACAAAAAGAAAAGAGGGGTAGGGGATTTCCAAAACAACCGAAGTTCATACCTGTCAGTTCAAAGCCAACACTTCTTGAATCCGGACGAACTCCCCAGTCCAAGGGATAGGAAGGTGTCACATTTACACCACATTGTTGAAGCATGAAATGGCTTCCCCCAATAGCTTGATGCTCCTCATTTCCCCTGATTGAATTCCCACTGGAAGAAACAACAGCTGAGCGGAAATCCAAACTTGATACTAATTCACCAACTGGTGGTGGCAACTTGCTGGTAGAAACATCACCTTTTACTCCAGCACTAGCGTCCTTCTTGGGGTCAATAAAAAATGTACCAACAATGACCTGTGTGAATTAAATCTAAAGTGATTTAATGTTGTAAAGTATACCAGGCCGTGTTTTGTGTGAGTGAACAAAATAGGAAAATGAAAAATAGAATAGTGAAGATCAACAATATATTTGGATTAAGTGTATTGCAAATTATAAACATTTATTGATTTTATTTATTAAATTTTTATTTAATTTCATTTATTTTTTTGGTTTTAATTCATTTTATTTAGATTTTGAATAAATTAGTCTTCCCTATCTTTTTAAGTTTAATTTGAAGTTTCAGGTGTATTTTAAAAGAATTTGGATTAAATATGGAGACATTCCCATCAGAAGTTCAAGTTCAATCAACCAAAGTTCATTAAGCATTATGAAATTACCTGAACTGGACCAGCGGCTTTAAGGGGTCCAGCAAGGCTTCCACCTAGGATTTGCCCATCAGTATTGGATAAGCATACACTGAGACCACCACTCCGACCTCCAAGTTCATTACGGACATAGGAACCAGTAAGTGAAATAATTTCAAATCGACCCTGATAACAAAGCCAAAAAAAATAAAAGGTTAAACAGTGAGAACTGGAATACAAGCATAAGACAAAGCCAACACTCAACATGCAAAGAGCTTCACCAAAAAAACAGAAAGCAAATGATACGCATTGGCAATGATTATTTTGAGCAATCAGCCATGTTTTTGTGATAACTCCTCGTTTTAATAAATCCAGTCTATGATAACATAAGAAATTTACATTAGTACTTCTTGGCACTAACTTCAAGTCAGCAGCCATAATCTATATATACACACAGCTTTAATAAGGTCGTACTGTTGTTCCCTTGAAGGTGACTGGAGACTAAAGGTCAAATTGTCATAGAAGGGGAGTGCAAGAGATATCTACATAAAATGACATACTATTTTATTTAAACCTCTAAGTTCTATTTCCAACTTTTAACCATCAAAATCTGCTCATGTGGGTAAGGTTGGCTGCATCTGAACCCCCTCCAACCCCACAATGGTGGAAGGCCACCATTTTTTATTACACTAGCAGTGAGCATTCACAAGTGTATGCTTAAAATTATAGACAGAGAGAAAACATGATGAGACAGAAAAAACAATTTATAAACATGAGTAAAGTGGAGAGATAAATTATTTATTATAATGTTCATTATAATTAGGGGTATAAATGGGCTAGGCCGGCCTACGACCTAGCCTATATTAGGTCAGACTTGGCCGGTTACAAATGATAAAATAGAATAGGCCTAGGCTTTTAAAAAAACCTATTTAGAAAACAGGCCATGGGCTTTTTTGTACATATCGAGCCTATACGCCTACAGGCCGGCCTATATCATATTATTTATTTTAAATAAAATAAATAAATTATTATTTTAATAATTTTGAATAATAAAGTAATATTACTTTAGTTATTCTTTTAATTGTTGAATGTTTAATAGGCTTAAACAGGCTAACAAGCCTAGGCCAAGACTTTTATTTTTTAAATGTAGGTCAGGTCAGACTTGTAATTTGGGGCCTACACAGGCTAACAAGCGGCCATATCCGATGTTTTTTTACACAGGCTTGGCCTATTTAAGCCAAAGCCTAGCCTATTTACACCCCTAATTATAATTCATATATTTACATTTAGAGTCCTATGTTTTTTTAAAACTACATTTGAGAAACATGTGAACGAAGGTAGGACTGTTTTAGAAGTTATGGGGGAAAAAAGTGAAGATAGAACCTTGGTCCCTTTATTAATAGTAGAGATAACTTCAAATTTGAAAAAAATTTAATCACTCCAGTTGAGGGTAAGAGAAAAACCTTAAATAAACAGAGAATAAAAAAAATGGGACAAGATTTTGAGCCTGGATTATTCTGATACTCAAAGCTCAGATTTTGACCAAAGGTAGCAACAGTCCATTTCCTTTTGAAGATTGTTGGAAGAATAGGGGTCAAAGACTCAAAATAAAATACAACAGTAGTGAATTTTTTTTTCTCAAAAAAGTGATTAACATTTTACCTCATATGTAATATTGCCTCCTGATGTTGCTGGCTGACGAAGAGAGGCGTTAGAGATGGAACCAGATGCAGACAGAATGCAGATCTCACGCCTGCTTTGTTGCATGAACAACATAATTTTTTGGCCAACATCCTATTGAATGCACACACAAATTATTATGGAAGTAACAAATAGACAAAAGAAGAATTTAATAACATTGGGCACAATATATTCAAATATCATAGAAAGTTTTTTAAAGAAGAAAAGATTGGAAACCATTTTGATGGTGAACTCCTAGAAGAAAAGGGCCAAATTCAGAAAAATACTCACAAGTATATAAATGCTCTCATTTCAATGAAATAATTCATTATATGTGGAAAGAAGATAATCATGACATATAACTCCAACTCGGTAAGTATACATAACATCACTTATTCAAAGGTTAGTTGTAGACTTAATAGAATTGGTATTTAGGATCAAAATTCATTTAGAGTTGAATCACTATACATGGCCATTAAATTATATTATTAAGTGGTAAAAAATTATGAACAGGCCCATTATTCATGTTAGAAAACTAAATGGTATCAGAACTTCAGTGACCACGAGTTCGAGCCTCACCCCCAAACACCACCAAAAATTTCTAGTGGAATTAAGTAAAGCACAAGGTAAACCAAAAATTGGACCTGTGCAATATCCACATTTCAAGTTCAAGGGCTCTTGTGAGAGGGGGTGTATTAGAGAATAATATAAACAATTAAAAAGGTCCTCACCCAACAGTTTAAGCTTTTGGGTTGAATTGGAACTTCCAACTATATGCAAGGTTAAAGGTATAGTAAGGAGTTTCACTTTGCATTTGAATGAGGCTAATTCATGTAATTGAACCTGTGACCTACAAGTCACATGATGACAACACCAACTGCTGTGTCAAGGTTTCCCTCCTTTAGAAAACTAACCATGCCACATCAACATCAACATCAACATCAACATCAACAACACCTTTATCCCAAATTAATTGGGGTCGGTGGTAGATGAACCCAAATAAAAGATGCGGAAGGGTTTAAAAAAGATAAAAAAGATAAAAATAAAAATAAATAAATAAATCAGTAATAATATATATATATATATATATATATATATATATATATATATATATATAAGTGAAAAAAGAAGGGAGAAAGAAGAAAGGGGGGAGATAAAGAGGAAAAAAGACTAAAAAAGGACCATCTGGAACATAGGAATAACAACCGGTCTAACTCTCTACCAGCATATAGATTTTCTCCATTTCGTTCTAAGGCACACCGTCCGCCAATCTATATCCCAATCCATTAAGTCTTACTTTACTACTTTCCCCCAAGTAAGTTTCGGTCTACCTCTACCTTTCTTTGTGTTGAGTACTTGGTAACAAACTTTTGTTCTTACGGGAGCATCCAGGGGCCTTCTCATTACGTGCCCAAACCACCTCAATATATGTTTTCTCATCTTTTCATCCACCGGTAGTACACCTACCTTTCGTCGAATATCTTCATTTCTCATCTTATCCATCCTCGTATAACCACACATCCACCTTAACATCCCCATCTCTACTACTCCCATTTTATGCTCATGTTGCCTATGTGCTGGCCAACATTCAGCTCCATATAGCATTGCAGGCCACACATGCCACATAATATATATATTTTTTAAAAAAAATTATCATATTTTTTGAAGTATATTTTTAACTCATTAACTTTTATACAGAAGTTTCAAACTCTAAGCTGTTTTTTCTACCGTGAGAATGGGCCAGCCAAATTTCAAATATTAAATTCTAAAGCCTATTGATTTTCATTAGAAGACTATTACATTGTTTCAAAAACAGAAAAAAGCTTTCTACCAAAAAAAGAAGAAGAAAGCGAGAAGCTAAATGAAACTGTGCATTTTGTAGAATTAGGGTATTAGGTTAGGTTTTCATCTTCTCAATTCTTTTTTTTTTTTGAATTTTCATCTTCTCAATTCTAACCAGTGACTATGTCTCCCCTTTCTGTCATCTTTGCAACTAGGTGCAACTCGTTTCCTCATCTCTGCAACTGGTAGCCATGGGAGGTTTCTGCATTCATTGTGCCATCAACACAAGTTATTGTGCCTGTTCTTATTGCTACTACGTTTAAGTTTGGAACGCTCACAGCAACACGTTTGGGAACGGTTTGAGCAAACCATATAACTTTGGTGTAGACACACATTAGACTAAATTTAGTCTCTGATGCAAGCCCATTAGTACACTGTTTTATAGATATGCCTGGAAGTATATAAACTAAACATTTGGGATTCCGATTGCATTGGTATATGAGGACAGGTAATCAAACTCCCTACTTCGAAAACCTACCAGATTCTACAAGTACATGCAGACATCTAAATGAACAAACCATAATATTCAAGGATCACGAATAATGCATACCTCACCAGCAGCAACAGTAATGATGTGTGGAGTGAAGCCTTGTCCTGCATTGCCTGCACCAGCCAGTTAACAGCAGAATCATCAAATTCAAATTCTATGATTCTATCATGCACTTAGTAATAGCTGGTTAGTTGGTAAGTGTTGTATAAACAAAAAACATAAATGTAGATGTATATATAAAGATGAATAAGAGTGATAGTTATATAATTAAAAAAACCATATTAGACTTGTAAGGAATATTACACTTACACCCTCTACCTCGTAGCCAAAGGAAACGAAGAGATAGGTTATTTTACCTATCTTTTTTCACGCCTACCTTACCTACCAATTTCCAACACCGATAGATCAGAATCGCAAGTAAACATATCAAATAACAGTTTATATTTCTACTCTTGATATTCTGATCTAATGGTATAAAAGATTAGTAGATAAAGTAGGTACGAAAAAAAGATAGGTAAAATAAGCTATTCCATTGAATAAATAAATAAATGTTAATCTCCAAACCCCAAAAAGCTATAATATGTGGAGGAGGCATAGAAAGAAAACAAACCCCACGCAATAAGAAGAAAGGGAAAGCGTGGAAACCTGGAAGAGAGGAGTGGGATTTCTTGGAAGATTGAAACGACGACGTAGTAGCAGCCTTCTTAGAGGCTAGAGCTTCTTCTGGGGAAGCGTACTTCCTGGGCCTCCCTCGCTTCCTCTTCGCCGCCTCTACTTGCACTTCCGAATGGGAGTGAGAGTGGGACCCATCACTGCTTCCCAAAACCCCGTTAGTCGGCGACGCCGTCACGGTGGTGTTCTGCTGCTGCTGCTGCTGCAAGTACGAGCTCTCGTTGCGTTCCATTTAGTAGAGAAGATAATAGGGGAAACAAGAAACAAGCACAGGCACTGCAATTTTTTTTAATTATTTTTAATTTTATTTTATTATGAAGGGAAATAAAAACCCTTGATGATGGGGGTAGTGTTTTATTAGGAGCAGGGTGGGCTTTATTTTTAGGTTTAGGCTTTCAATTAAATTAAATTAAATTGAAAATAAACTGTTTACAAAAACAAATTTTGTTTAAAAGGGTATTGCTAGCATGGCGAAACGTGTCAAAGAAAAATTGACTACCAAAGATCCAAACCGAGTATCCAAATAGGCTTCTTAGTTCTTTTGGGCTGCCCAATCATCCAAATTGAACCATTGAATACATTATTTTGCTTTTATTTCTATTTTTCAATTTTTTTCTTTTTCTTTTGGATACATTCTTTTTCTATTTCCATCTTTTGTTTTTGCGTCTTTCTAGCTTTATATTTCATTATTTTGGTACAAAATTTGAAATATTTTCGGGGTGTATTGGTTTGGGATTTCAATAGATTATTTTTGGATAAAAAAATCCATTAATATTCAATTAGGATTTAAAGGATTGAAAAAAATCATGTGGTATTCGATTAGGATTTTAAAAGATTATTTTAAAGTCCGTCCAAATCTATTGGTATTCAATAAAGATTTTAAATAAGAAAAACAATTTTGTAGTATTCAAAAATTTTACGATTTTAATGGATTTTCTATTTGTGTGAATTTCGTGAGACTTTTTAGTGAAAAATATAAATAGGATATCTCTCTCACGATCTTACCCTAACCCCTAAATTTTTTTAAGATTTCTCTATTGTAGTGTCTTCTTCCTTTGACTGTTTGAACCGCTCGAAACTGAGTTTCGCTATAAGAGTTTTGTTAAAGCTCAAAAATAGCAAATTTTTAGAGCTTTTGAAAGTTTAAAAAATAATTTTTCAATATACGGGTCACAATTTTTCTTGGCACAAAAATGTGTAATTTTTGTATTAAAAACAACATAAAATAGAGGAAAAACTAAAACCCTCAAATCAATTTTCGTTTTACATCAATGAAACAATATCAATTTTAAAAAAGATTGAAACTTTTATAATACGAACTCTATATTTCGTAACAATATATTCATGAACGAAATTCCTTCGCTATAGGAAACGATTTCAAACAATTTGTGTCAATAGATAACTAAAAATTTATTTTTCAAAAGCCCAAAGCAATTTAGGGTTTCAATGTATCGATTGAAAATAATTTGAGAAATTTTCTAAACTTCCTTGTAATAAAACACAGAAATTAAGATTCAATTTTTTTTAGAATACTCAATGAAAACATGCATATGATATATAGTTAGAAAACTTTTATCATGTAGAACAAAAACCCCAATGTTTCCAAGTTCAATTACAAAAAATTTCAAATAAAATTTTATCATGAACTTCAAATTCTATATGCAAATTTAGAATTATTTTATAAATAAAAAAATAGGTTTTATAATCATATATGCATAGCTCTGATACCAAATGAAGAAGATAATTTTCAACTCATTGGTCAAATCCAAGAGCAGGAATGAGAAAATACTAATGCGTAGATGACTTGTATAGTTTTAGATATATTGGGAGTTGTTGCTTAGTAATTTTGATTGTTTGTTAAAATTATACTATGTTTTACTGAATGAGAAAATTATATTATTCTTTTTTTATTAATATTATTGTATTTCTTTGTTATTTTTTTTATTGACTCTTATAATTTTGAATGTTTGTTAAAAATTATTAAGGTTTTTAAAATTTTATAAATCCATATTGTCCTTTTAAATTTTATAAATTCTATTAAAATCATTTAAAATCCAATCTTATAAAATCTTGATTGTAAAAAAAGTCTTTTAAAAAAGTCTGTAAAGTCTTTCTAATTTTAAATAATCTTTTAAAATTTATAAAAAAATTTATCGCAATTTTTTTTAAAAAAAAAACCCTAATCCAATACACCTCTCAGTATTTTTGTTGACAACCTAATTTATTAGATACTTAAAATTTAAATACTAAAATAATTATGATGAATATAAAAAATTAGCTCTCTTTTTTTTTGTAATCAAAATTAGCTCTTTAATATTAACAACTTTCATATTTATCATAATTATTTTAAATAAATTTTTTTAATTTTTCTCTTTTTCTGTAATCTGATGCCTAATTGTATGTTACGAAAAAAGCAAGCAAAAACTGTGGCATCATCCCCCTAATCTAAGCCACTGGAATGCTAACCAGGAAAAAAAAATTAAATCTTCCCGAACGAAAATTATGTGAGGAAAGCAGCGTCTAATTATCATACACATGTTGCCTGAATATAAATACATGCATCTTCACATTTAATGCACCGTATTACAATGATAGAAATTTTACTTTATTATTTATAATTTCATTATTTTTAGTAGAACTAAAAATTGATTTATTTTTTTTAAACTTCATGTTCTATTCCATTTTACTTTATAAAATATACTAAACATTAAATAAAATCACATTTCTTGTTTGTATCTCGTTCTAATACATCTACCAAACGTTATCTCGTTCTAATACATTTACCGAACGTTACTGATAATTTGGTAGAATGGAATCATCATTCTTCAACAATGGCGCGTGTTCAGGAACCATAAATGCACCGGAAAAAGGTGAAACATTAACTTTTAGGATCCAAAAAGGAAATCTTTTTTTCTTTTTTACATAATATAGAACAAATATCATGGATTGGGAAATAGATCCGGTAGATAACTGCATCTCCCTCAATGAATTAGAAAGTCCTCGAGTATTTCCTAATCTCATACATGATTGAAGATATGGAAACAAGATCCTTGTTCAAAGCAGAGCCCCCAACGATCCTCTTGATGCAATCCGAAAGTCTGGTATAATAAAGCAACAATTGGGTCAATGCAGCTCTTAATATCTCCATACCACACAAGAAGTTGCTGAAAGAAGTGATGACATCTTTGTGCATCAGCTCTATTGCAGCCTTCCACCTACTTGCAAAATCCTTCACTAGTGGCTCGACTTCGGCAATGGTTATAGGCTTATCAGGACTCGACGTTGGGTCCTCAGCTGATAAATTACAAGCAATTAAGTCCATATTTTCACAAATATAGAACGCATATAAGATGTTACAATCGTGTCATTTTTTTTTATACTTACAGGCTTTAGCCTTTACAAACTTGATTAAATCATTAAAATGCTCTTGAAGCAGTTCTTCCTGCAAGGATTGAAAAACAAAACTGTAAAGACAATTGCAAATGAGAGCAACAGGGTAAATTATACCACAACATAACCTATTCTTCTTCTGAAAATCACATAAGTTCGCAATTGTTGTAGGGAATAATTTTTTCTCGCCGTTTTATTTGGAAATGGAACCACTCAATCAGCTAGTCTTATTTGGAAGTCATTTTCTATATATTAGGACTGAAAATACTATGTAAAGAACCAATTCAACCTAAAAGCTTAAGCTGTTGGATGAGGCTACAATGATTTTATATATCTCAACACGCCCCCTCACACGAGAGCTCACGAGACTTGAAGGGTGGACGATGCACAGGCCCACCTACTTGTGCGAACAAAGAAATTCCACTTGAAAGAAAGTGGGGGGTGACAAGGATCGAACCCGGGACACGAGGCTCTGATACCATGTAAAGAATCAATTCAACCCAAAAGCTTAAGCTGTTGGGTGAGGCTACATTAATGGTTTTATATATCTCAACACACTACACCTTTCTAAATGAAGTTGGGTTTTAGATACGACAACCACATGTCAAAAGAAACTGAAATTGGGTCTGAGATGGCGTTATTCCATAAGGGGCAACATTTTTCACTTCACAATCATGAATACGAAGAAATAGCAACTAATAAAATTGATGCTCTTATGTTCCTTGCGTGCAAGATTAAAAACACAATTTAATTTGCACTGAAACCAGGTATAAAATAAACGAATGCGGTTACCACAAATAACGCTGTATTGCTCTTCAGTAGCTCCTCAAAGTGCATTTGAATTTTCCCACCTTCGGGACCTGCTTCCTGGAATCAAGCAAGCGAGAAAATCTTAGTTGCCAAGGATATTCCAATTGCCAGAGCAAGCTATGATAATGTTTACGTAAACGTGAACCTCACAGATATTTTGTTAAGGTAACTTATCCTTTTTCTTTCTACTCATATTTGAAGTAGTGTCTTGCATAATTATCAACCCGAGATAGCAGCAAGGAACGGCTGAGTTAGCAGGATAGCCGCTATTTCGAAGATTATACATGCAAGATAAATAACTTATCCCATACATACATACACAAATGCTTAAAAATAAAAATTTACACAAAATTAAAGATATATCATAATTAATAATCAGAAGTCATAGTCTCACATTCAATCACCACTAAAAAAATGAAGATGAAGAATTAATAGAAAAAAAGAAGAAGAAAGAAGGCTGCGGGAGAATAATTAGTGGAAGGTGAGGAACCATGAAGTGTGAAGAACACACTACACTACACAGCAAAAACAAAAAACAAAATAAAATAAACAGAGACCTGTCACGAAGGGGTGTGAATACTGCATGAACAGGGAGCTGTGTGAATACTGAACAAATGGGCAAATATGGGTTTTAACCCCATTTTGCCATAGTGGCCGTGACCCAAAAATGTGACACAAATGAACACCAGTAGCAGCCACCTGAGAGGCAGCGCAATACCACCCCTACCGTGCGCAATTGACTACCCAAGTGTCTTGTCCTAGTACTTTCTTGTCACGCGACACCCTTGACCTTCCAGTTTGTACAGATATATAGCTCTACTAAAAAAGAATAGTAAGCTTGCAGTTTCCTACCTTCAGAACAGCAATTGTCATATCATAATTGTTTATAAGAAACACTGTCTGTAGTTTTGGTTTTGGGAAGTTCTTGGCTAGCTTGATAAGTAAATCATCAACAGCCATTCTAAGTCGTTCTGAATTCAATTCAAGCTGCAATTAATAAGCAGATAGATTATATTTAAAATTTACAAAACAAAGGTTGATGATTAAAATTTTTATTTACTGACCTGACCCTCTCCGTACTCAGAGTTTAAGTGGATAAGTGAAGCAGTAAACTCAGCATAACGCCTCATGACATAATGAGGATGAACATCATCTTCCCATAATGTCTTCACATTTGCGTTACGCAAGCTGTTGAGGTGCATGTCAAATACCATCTTAAATCGTGGCCATAGGGAAATATTGACCTGCCAAAATAAAGAATTAGCTTCAAATATTGATTAAGCTTAGTAAACTCTATATGCTGCACAGGCCCATTGACTCAAAATATACCTTGGTAGTTTTATCCATTTAAGCCAACACAATTGCAATACTTTTAAAATATGAGGGAAATGTAAGAGAACCAAGAATGTATACATATAAAAGAGGTAATTAACACTACAAAGTATGAAGGAGGATGACAAAAGCAAATTGGTGGGTTTGTTGTTGGGGGGTGGGGGGGTTGAGAAGCAAAAAAATGATAAAAAAAAAAGAAAAAGAAAAAGAAATGAGCAAGGCCAGCACTCTACACTTCCTGTCAACTAGCAAATTCAGACATACTACAAAATAGAAAGTTAAAATCATTAGCAGATAATTACAAACAAAGAAATGGTTTAAACAATCTATATCTATATTTTATACATAAGTCTGATCTGCATTATCTCACTGAAACCAACGGGAAAAGTTTATCATGCTATAGTTTTTCTTTCGTCAAGCAATTTCAGTCACTTAGTCGTTTTTCCTTTGATTACTATTTTAAACAAAGATTTAAGTTCCACCAAAGCAGCCAGGTAGTTTTCTAACTGACATCCCGGTAACTCCGATACCAATCATAATTGTCCAGACTCAAAGCCCAACAGGAATTCTAGGCTACTCATGAACAGCTAAGTTCACTCATCTGACAATACTATCAGGGCCTCCCAGCATAAACATACTTAAAGAAAAGAATTATCTTTTCTAAATAAGAATAGCTCATTGCACAGGAAACTGACCTTGTCTAAATAAGAATCCAAGCATGGAATCCGCCTCCGAGACATAATGAGCTGAAATTAACAATTATGTCAGTTACTAATAATTGCTTAAAAAGTGAACCATTTGTAAATGTGAAATTCTTTGCCAACACTCCTACAGATTGATGTTAGCTGAAAATATGCAGTATAGAATGGAACTTATTTGAATGCTAACTGTGCAATGGATTCGGTTATTTGTTACAGATTTCTAACAAATCTTTATCACTGTATGATTGTATTACATGTTGTAAAAGGATAATAGCAGACATTCATCAGTATTAGCATCACAATGTTTCATAGATTATTCACTTATTTGGTGTTTCCTTCCTAAGAAATGGTTTGTGTCCCCAAACCAGTAATCAGGGGGGTGGGGGTAAGATTCAAATTCTTGAAACAAATTGATAGAATTATCGAGAACCAGCCATTGGCATTATACCTTCTTTCGGATACAATAGTCAAATTAGCATCATTATGGTGTTTGCTTAGATATGTTGTCCTTCTTACTGAAGACTGAATTCAGAGTATTACGCATTGGAACATTACCTGATGCTCATGTATTATGCGAATCATAAGCATTAGACCTATAGCATCATAGCAATTTGGAAGTATTGAATTGAAGTGCTCATCAATGACACCAAAAGGACCTGGCAGTACCAAAGAACAAATAAATTGACCTATTCGAAAACTGAATCCATATCAGGAAATGAAAAAAGATTCAATACTGAAAACTATATAGCAGTATTAGTTTAATATATATATATATATATATATATATATATATATATAGTGCGAGAGAGAGAGACCAAAAAGACAAAAATGTAAAAGTGATGAATAGGAGGGCGCTGAATGCACTCAGCAACAACCTTTCCCTTCTTTAAATCATTAAACGATAACAGTTTTTGTTACCATGTCCTTATTTATTATATTAAATTTTAATAGTTCACTTAATACAATTTCAGCCATTCAAATGAAATTCTTGTGGTAAATATAAAAAGGAATAATTATGTAATTATTGTAGATTGGTTTTTACAGATTCATTGTCTATTTCTTTCCTTAGTTTCTAATTCCACACCATGAACCAACTATCCCAAAAGTTGTCATGGGTGAAATCACATAAATGTTTTATATCTAATAAGAAAACATTAAAAATTCCATGCTTAATTTTTCATACATACGAATCAATGCTGAATTTTTAATGCTAAATTATTCAGTTTTATCAAGCACCCTAAGTCAATAGTGTTTACCAAAGTTTTGTAACATCATATGATCTTTGTTCCCTTTTGCATATTTTAAAAATTGATAATATACAAGCCAAGTAGCAAATGGAACAGTGAATTCAACAAAGCTCATCTTATATATCAATAAGTCGGATCTGTTCCTTCTGTTTATGGTCTGTTTACAAGATGAGCGAAAACACTTAGGTGCACCTAGGGTGACCATCTCAAAATGGGCTCAAATTTGACTGGACCCTTGGAATTGGCCTTCTAAGCAAGGCTCGTGCCCAAAGTTTTTCAGGCTTTCAGGATCATTTTCATTGAGTTTTCAATTTTTTTTCCTATTTATTTTATCTTTTTATCTCCAAAGGGACAGTTTCATAATTTCTGCTATTTTCATTTTTGTTGCCTATTTAAGGGCAATGTGAACCCTAATTTATGTGGTTGTTTTTATTGAATAAAAATATCAGAGAGCTGCAGCTACTCGAATCCTAATTCATTCTATCTAGCCAATTTCGCTTAAGTTTCGGCATTACACTTCTTAAAATAAACTCCATCACAGATACCTGAAAAAATTTCATAGAATATGTGTTCTTCTCCAAAGAAATCATCACAGAAATTATATCTGCAGTTGAAAGAAAAAAATATCAACACGCATATCACTAGGGATTTTATGCACATTAGCATTCTTTATGAAAATTTTAAGTGGCATAGCAAACTGTAGTGTACTCTGAAGTAGCAGTATCCATAAGCAGCTTCTGCAAGCTCCTGAACAGAACTTCATATGGATATTTAATAGAGCTGGCTTCAGCTATATGAGGAATCAAAGCTGGTTCATCAATTTCCTGGTACCAATGACATTTAACATACTGTCAAATCTAAGGCAGTCAACCAAAGTCTGTACGATCTGTGCAGATCAGAGACATCTAACGACATACAAATTCCAACTAACCATACCAAAAAGCTGTAGAAAAATTAAATATCACAAATAAAAAGTATAGCAAATGCTATATAAGAATTTTTATTTTTATTTTTATTTTTGAAGCAAATTCAAGGTATGTTCAACAATCATCAATTTATAAAAACCAGCAACAGGTCCATAGAGCTTGAAACATAATCCTGCAAAAAAAATAAATAAAGCAATGGTTCTTTCTCTTCATACAATTGTTATTCTTGTCTTGACCAACCTTCACTGCTCAAAGAGAACTATTGACACAAATGATAATATAATTTCATTAAATAAACACATGGATTTCTTGGTCAATTCAGTCAGCATTCAAGAAAAGAATAATCTGCACGAAAACTTCCCCCTTTTCCTAGGTTAAGGTATACCTTTAATATATTAATCCTATCCCCAAGGGCAAAAACAGCAGACCGATTCTTTAGTGGTTCCCTTGCTCTTGTAAAAAGACCACTGCTTCTTGTCTCTACACCAATTAAATCATTAGATGTTGCTATATCCAACTGTAGTTTCTCCAATGCTTGTATGTAAGCACGGAAATGAGCACTAAGAACCTGCAAATATACAGCAGCATTAGGCTACTTCATGAAATTATTTTCAAATTCACTGTTTCCCTTTAAAATTAATCTACTGCACATGTGTACTGTGTACATATTGGAGTAGCTGCTAGAAATTGACAATTCTAATATGGATCAGTAATTGCACCATTTAGCTCATACAACAACCAAAATAGAAGTCTTCTAAGTGAATTGACCATTCAAATTATGAAGGCTAGAAAAATAATATCATTAAACACACTTGATAATCAGCATAGAACAAAAGTAACATCTTCCAGACATCAGTTATCTGAATACATCAGGCCAAAGCATAGCTACCTAAGGTCTCAGATGCTATCATTCATATCTCACTTTAAACTCCAAGTTTATGGAAGCTTAGGTCCCTTTCAAATAGTAAACTTCTCGAACACTAAAAAAAAAACACTTTTCTGATGACATATGGGCTGCAAATTGCAATGTTGATGTGAAGTTCGTTCTACTTTGAGAAAGATGCTTTCAAGCAAGAACTTTAAACAAAGATAATTACATCAAGAGCAACCAAACTTTCTCTATTCATAGTAATATTAATATGTAGGCCAACATTACAATCAATAAAATCTTGATGGAAAATTCTGATTTCAACAGCTACCTTGTTCATTGTATCAATATAAGCAGCACGAACTTCATTATATACTTCCTTGCCATGTTCCTTGAGGAAGGCAACAACATACCTACACTTTTACACTTCCATTTGTTAGATTTATAGAGCACCCACAGTTGAAAAAATAACCAGAATGATTCCACAAATTTAAGATGGTGAAAGTAAGGAAGTATAGATTGGTACATTTTACATCCTTCTATAGCTCTCTTGTTGGCAGGCTAAATAAAAACATGCAAATGACGAAAACCAAAGCATTTAAAAAATAAAAATCATTGAATATTTATTCAGTAACAATATTCCGCAAGAACAAAAGCTCTGTTTATAAGCACAACCTCTGATGATTCTGTACATTGAAGACTGAATAAAACAAAGTTATTAAACATAAATAAACCTAATATCCAGGTCAACAATATAAGAATGAATAGATTTGTGTAGAACATAAGGTATTACTTAAGAGATATACATTTTTTAAAATGTACATTGAAAAAACTAGCACAGGCAAACATGTTTGGCCTGTTATCAAGTAGAAACAATTATGAGCCGGTAGAACTTATAAATTGGAATTTGGAACTTATAGCTTATCATGACATCAAACTATCACACCTAAAAATCAATAGAAACAACTCACTTGTACTTTAAAAGGACACTTTGTTGAAGTATTTGGATATTTGTTTTGGGTTTTCTCAAGGCATAGAGTTTCTGAACAATGAAGTCAAATACCTGCAGAAAGATGGATAGCCATGATAAAGATATTTGTTTATCTAATAAATAGCTTTCCAAACAAAATAAATTTCTGCCAGGTATTATATCATGAAAAGAAAAAGTTATACTAATACTATTATAGGTGTTGATAACCTTTGAGACTGCTTTCTGACGAAGTTTTTCAAGCTCAGGCTGAACATCTTTTAGAGCTTTTGAAGCTTTAACCATTGGGTCCACTTCTACAAACTTCAGTTTCTTACTCAGAATCTCAAGAGTTCTCATATATTCCTCATTGACCTGAAAAAAATTCAAAGAGACCAAGAAAGCTAATTAAAAGGGAAGATAATGCTTAAACATAAGGTATGCTGAGCAGTATGCACATCATGTACTGGGTAATGTACATGAAATTCAAAACATACACCTAAATGTTTAAAACATATTAACTGTAGCCTAAAATGCCAAAGAAGAGCTAGAAGAGACATCTGATCGGAACAATAAACTGTCAACCTAAGTATTAATTCTTCAATCCAAAAGAAACATGGGGTGTGTGTGTGTGTTGGTTACAAAACATTGTATATATTTTAATGTTGCCTAAGCAACCAATATCTATATATGTCAAAACTAATAAACAAAATGAAGTTACAAGTTTAGGAAAAAATACAATCAAAACAAGTAAAGCTCTTGAGCTTTTTATAGCTAATTCCCTAAGGACCTGTGTAACTTGATCACATATATGCCAAAATCATAGAGATGTAACGTGCATGTCTATTTTGTCATAGATGTCTGTTTTCAAGCATTAGCTAAAGAACCAAAGTCGCTAACAAAATATATTAGATACTCAAATGTCTCAATCAGATCCTTTTTCAAAGCCTGAAAACCTGATAGAGATGCAGAAGATAAGAAGCTTGTGCAAATTACACACCACCAAAAGCAACTAATACAATATTACTGGAGAGAAGTAGATTACAGAGAAAGCATAAATACCTCTCCATCAACAAGAATGTCTACCATCCTTGGAGGAACTATTATGTCTTCCACAAACCTAGCCAATTTGGATTCCGCCACCTTTTGGGGGAAAAAACAGACCAATCATACTACATATAACACATGTACAGATGGGAAAAGACAGAAAAACTTAGCCCAATGTGGGAGGGGTAGGGGAGCAGCAGGGGAAAATAGAAAATAAGTAAGTAATATTGAAACTACTATTCTCTCATCCAAACATTAAAAGAAACCCAATAATTTAAGAAATTCTTCAACTGCCAAAATGTAAACAGCCTTTTCATGCACTTTACTTCCAGGATCAAAATGACAGTTTGTTATATAATAGTAGTAATTGCCATTCTAGTATTAAGCAAAGGCCAAAACACCTTTGAAATCCTAGTTTGTTTATATAAAAGGACCATACCTTTCGATTCTTAAGCCTCAAACCCATATCCATAGACTTCTCCTGGAGAATCTTTATGTCTGAACTAATGGAACCAATCTCAGCCTGATAAAAAAAATTAAGAGTTCATGAATTAAAATTCAATATCCACATAGAAACTGCAGTGCAATTTGTTAAAGAAGTCCTTCAAACTATTGAGTAGACTACTATAATTGTCACATTTGTTTTGATACATGACTTTTGAAAGATCCCCAGAACAGGTAAATAGGAACTTCATTATTGTAAGGTGAATGTAATCCTTTTCATACGGAAAAGTTTACATTAACATCAACATCAACATCAACAACACCTTTAAAGTTTTCATAAACAAAAAAATAAAATAAAATAAAATACTTTGAATAAGTGTCAAATTAAAGTTTAAGATAAAATTTACTTTCAAAAATTGTTAAGACTGTGGTTCCAAATTTTACAACACTGGTATTACTGTTCTTATCAGAAAATCAGGATAACATTTTTACCATCTTTTTTTAAATGATCATGATTAACTAAGAATTGGTTAGTTGGTTCAGCTCTTTATCGGGCTAAACATAGTTCACAAGCATTAAGCTCATCAATTGAACCATAGTTCCACCTGAAAATTGCATTGCTTCTTTTGCAATATAGACTCAGAAACATTTTAATAGATAACCTTCATAGATATTTAGAGCATAACCATGAATATAATGAAAGATTAACTTAAGATACATTTTTCATGCAGCAGTGATTTCCTCTAAAAAATTTATGGAAGGAAAGCAACTGGAATTCTGAAATAATAAGACTTTCCTATTAGAGAAATAAAGTGTTTCGCAATTGCATAAAAAGAACTCTGTCACATATACATCCAAAATAAAAACAAAAATATTTGAAAGATAAAATACAAACAAAGCAAGCATGATCAGTACTGGTGCTCATAAGTGCAAGCTTCTTCAAATTGCTCAATGGGTCAACACACCTGAAATCCACTTAGAAGAGTTTCCATGTGTGACAAGATACTATCACAATCTCGAATTTGATCATGAAGAGAGACTAGGTTATCACTTTCTTTAATATAATCCTGCAATAAATGGAACAGTTGCAAAAGTCATTGATTAGTGTATTGTCAGAAACCATGAAACAAAACTTGATTAATACTAGGAACAACGTGACATGACAAAAAAAAAATTCATAATAAAGCACAGGAAATTATTCAGAACACGCCATTATATCAAGAGCCATATAGAAAATATAAAGCATAAATTATTTCTTGCATTAGAAAATCCATAGGATTAAACATTTACATAATTAATTTGTTATCACAAAATCATAGAAAGATGGCATTCTCCTAGAGGTAGAAGAAAATGCCATTATCATTTGTTTAGCATTTAGAAGAGAGAGATCCATAAAGCCAAGCCAACATGTAAAATCAGTACTGCAACCAAATAGTGATTAAACATACATAATAATCATCAAATCTAGCAAAACAAACAAAGTGGTGTGACTATTTAAATTTCACAAAATTATCAACAAACCTGAATTGAATCCAATTCGACTTTACGCAAATCATTCTCAACTCCCTTCGTATAATCCCTAAGTTTTGTACCTTTAGATAGTATGTTTACAACTACCTGCACAAACGAAAAACAGGTTAATAATATGTGTCTAACCAAAACAATATTTCAAAAGTAAGGAAAATAGGCCTATAGAGAATGTGATTTGTGACCACTGATTATGCACGGGAAGAAAATACCACTGCATAAAATATTAACCATAAATGAAGTCATTAAGAGTATGAAACCATTAACATGCTTAACATGACACTAGTTGGTGCAATAACCTCACACTGAAGCACTCTTGAAAGCGTTTATAACTTGTTTAAAAGTATTGCCTTATGTGCTGGACTCTTAAGCTAAGAGAGACAAAACAGAGAAGCTAGTTCTGCCATTGATTAAATTGAAATATCCAACGAGGGATAAGATTTCAATCATGACACGAACAAGGAGAATTACGCAAATGGGTAGTTAATGGTGATTATGGTAAATAGATAGTTACTAAGAACAAGCATCGGAACATTACAAAGCTGCATGTGGAAATTCTGATATAAACCATTTCAGCACCATCTAAAGTAGTAGAGTTTCCAACACAAGGATGAAATACTAACTCACATCATCATTCCTACATTCTTCGAGCTCTTGTTGTAGTCCTTCCAATGATATATCATCACTGTAAAACAAGTCAACCAAAGCATCTAAAAACTAATAAGCTTGATTGCAAAATTCACGATCAATCGAAACAGAATAGTAATAACCAGAAAATCATCTTAAATTTTTGGAAGGGAGGCAGTAGAAGAGAGAACACTGACCTGCTTAGATCCTCTTCGAGAGTTAAGTCCCCAACGAATGCTCCCAAATCAAATGTATTAGAGGGGCTCTGCACACACACCACCAAACGTTCAATAAAATGCTCGCTCCTTCAAGTTGTTGATAATAGAAGCAGTTGCAGTGCAATTGAGAAAAGAAAAAACTAACAAGTAGGAGTAGATGGATGTGTTTATAATACTATATACCATTGTGCTGCCGGCAACATCAGCCATCTTGTTTGCGTCGAAATAATTCACGGATTTCTTTAATTTCAATAATATTTGAAGAAAAAAACTATGGATTAGAAGAACAAGTAGTTCTGAGCGGTAATCAAAGGCACACCAATGGCGTGATCGCCATTCGCCACCACTGAAATGAGATTTCAGAGACACATTGCAGCTGAGATCTACTTGTCTGGGTCTCGGAGGTGATCGGGGACACCCGGTGGGGTCCAGATTGGGCTGGGCTTCTTCTTTTTAAGCCGAAACCCATGGGCTCTTTCAGTTTTGAGTTATTTAAATAAGGTGATAAGTTTAAACTTTTCTTATATCTCAAGTAATAAATAAGTTTGAGCTTGATGGTTAAAAGGTTTTTATAATGTTAGATTTTCAAACACGTAATAAATACTGAAATGATAACCACAGTATTCTAGATAACTATGTACCTTGTATAGTTGAATACCTGATTAAAAATTATTATTGTAAGAAAGTTTTAAAAACTTGGTAAGACGATGATGTTTAAGCATGCTAGCTTGCATATAATTCCAGATTTTTTTTGTTACAATATGTGAATTTCATTTACTATAATTTTCAAATAATGGGATGAAGTTTTTTTTTATTCCATCATTATATATTTTAGGAATGATACCTGGAAATTTTGAGTGTGTGTGATTGTGTTCTAATTTTTTTGTTTTTAAAACTATTTTATAGAATAGTTAATGGAATAGGTCTTTTTTTGCTTGTTTTGAAAGTTAAAAATCAAAACACAAAACAAAAATAACTTTATTTGATTTGATTCTAAAAATAAAAAAGCACTTACAATTTTTAAATATTTTTTTACAAAACATACCTTATTAAACAAAATTTTTTAGAGTAAACACCAATTTTAGTCCCTGTCAATATCTACGAAGTCCTTTTTAGTCCCTGGCAATAAAAAAGGATCAAATTGGTCTCTGAAATTACAAAAAAAGGGTCATGTTAGTCCTTATGTCAACTCCCAAATATGTAGAGTGACCCTTTTCTTGTACTTTCAGGGACCAATTTGGTCCTTTTTTATTGTCAGAGACTGAAAAGGACTTCGTAGATATTGTCAGGGACTAAAAATGGTGTTTACTTAATTTTTTATTTTTTGTTCTGAAAATAAAAAAAATTAAAATAGATTTCAAACGGGCTCTTTATTTTTTTCACCACAGCATCAATTAATCCAATTATATTTGATGAGTTAATTCAAAAAATCTGATCTCAATAAAATTTATAACTCATTAAGAAATTCCGGTCCAAAAAATTTAGCTTGTTTTAAGCTGTAAAATTTATGATGTGTTTTGAGATTCAATTCATCGAATAATTATAAGTTTAATTAATTAAATATTTATCTTTAAAAACTTCTCTTATTTTTATGAGATAGATATCCTCATTTTTATTTTAAATATTTTTCTTCTGTGTGGGATTTTAATCTGTAATGACAAAGGACATATATCAATTAGAAGAAAAAGATGAGATTATTTTCATTAAAAAAAATCCCTCCAAATTCATCCCAAAAAACATAATCTTCTCTCTCTCTCTCTCTCTCTCTCTCTCTCTCTTATATAACTGGACAGGTCTCTACAAAGGACATATATCAATATGTTCGCCGTTGTTGAATATGAGGCACAAATCTTCAATAGGCCTTTTTCAAAGATGCAGGTATAGTTATGTTAATCATTTATATATTATGTTGTTTTGTTACATGAAACGTTTGATTGAACAAGAGCTTTGATTTTTTTAATTTATCTTTATATTATTTAGTGAACAAATTGATAATAATGACTTTAAAATAAAAATTAGTTTTGAAAGTGAGAAAGTTGCATTATTCCTTCCAACGAAGGGTTTCCTTTGCTGGTAATTCCCACTCATCAATATGGAAATTGAGGCCACTAGTGGTGCCAGCGTCCGAGCAAGACAAAAAGCATCTTGGTGGGTATATGTTTGTCTCCACTCTAGTTTGTCATAATTAACCCCATTTTAGAACATTCTTCTCATCACCTGACCCGTGTTTTGTCTCCATTAAGTCGATCCTTGACCCAAATTATGAGTTTGCTATGCGCTTTAATCTTTATCCCATATTTGCACGTTTTCAAATGTCTCTCACCCTTGGTCCTTGTATACATAAAGGGAACAATCATAAAGTTCATGCACAATAAATTTGAAGTTAGAAGTAAAATTGTCTACCTCTCAAATAATAATGGATCAATTCAATTTACTAGTGCTGTACCTATAGCCTGACCAAAAGATTATTCTTTCATTATATAATACTTCTGATGTATAAATATTACATTTCTCTACCTCTGACCAGAGCCCTTTTTTTTTTAAATGAATCTGAGCAGCAGGCCAACTACTTCTTTAACCTGTTTTAATTCTGGACTCTTCTTTTCTTCTTTCATTTTCCTCTGTTCAACAACTTCTTACATATTCATGGCATCGACATCAGCACCACGGTCTTCTTCAGAGCTAACTATCAAAATTGAAAGCAATCTTTCAAAATCACGACTATCAGAGCTGGGTATAAATTTGTGGCCCAAGTGAGTGACCAAGTCATATATCAAATTAATAGCTTGTTAATAGAGTAGCTTTTTTCCTTTACTTTTTTTAGACAGCAATTTCTTATCAGATGTATATATGCATGATTATTCGATGGATCCAATGAAATTTTGTGTTTTTCATTAGATGGGGTTGTCCTCCTGGTAAGTACTTGCTCAAATTCGATGCCCAAGAGACATGTTATTTGCTGAGAGGGAGAGTGAAGGTTTACCCAAAAGGCTCATCATCTGAGTCTGTGGAGTTTGGTGCCGGTGACCTTGTCATCATACCCAAGGGACTTAGTTGCACGTGGGACGTATCCGTTGCAGTGGACAAGCATTACAAATTCGAGTCTTGCCCCGTTCCTACACCTTCTTCCAATTGATTGAGATTAGAGCTAAATATTTGAATTTTTTTATTGTTTATCGTGCTTAATATTCACCAGGAAAATAAACTAATAAATGTGAATCCTACCATTGTAGTCTACTAGCAATGTATCCGAACTAGATGCCGTGTGAAAACAGTATAACGATGCTCTTCCTTTTTAGTTTTGATCTTTTTGCATGTGATCCCACAACCACAACCTTAAAAATCTCAGGTTTTATTTCTTTCTCTCTCACAAAAAAAAATAAAAATCTAGGGCTTTATTACACATGCAAATATGCGTGGCAAAATGGCATGCCTCCTTTACTTATTAGGAATTGATGCTCAAAATTTACGAAACGATGTGCTGAGCCAATCTGCGCCGCTGTGTCAAAGTTTGCTCCTTTTGTACTGATAAAGGGTATCCCTGAAATATTCTTGCCCTGGCTGGGAGAGGGGAATATCAATATGAATCTTTGTGCTGAATTGTCATTTGCCGTATATAAAAAGGGTCTTTCTTTTTTCTTTTCTTTTTTGTAAAAAATAAAAGGATCTTTAATTTCAACGATGGGTTATTTCTAGAAATAAAAAATGCGTGTTGTCTTCTTTTACTAGTGTCGTCTCTTGGACGGAAGTACTGGAAACTGAACCAAAGCTCAGAAATGATGGCACTCATGCTTGTGTGCCTGTGAGAAATTGATGATTTCTGAATGGGAAAATTTAAGAAGCAGTGAGCTCTTAATGGCCCAGGTTGTTTTGGCATTAACATAAGATAACCCAACCCGTTCTTTTTCAAGTTTCATGCGCAACGAACGAAATATACTATGGCTATTCTTTCACATAGATGAGTAGTCACATCACTGTCAAAAATAAAAATAAAGCATTTCATTAAAAAAAAAATATTTTTGAATATTTTCTCATAGACAAATGTAAAAATTAATGCTGAGATATTAACCAAGTAAGATTGTAATTACGAGAGGTGGTTTCAGTAATAAATAAGCTTGTATAAAGGATTCAAGCTCTTGTATAATTAGTTTTGCAAAAATTAGTTTGCACCTGTATTATTATGTGAGTTTCGGTAGAATTGTTAAAATAAAAGCCAATTTATCAATTCAGGTTGCTTATAATAAAAAAATTGACGAGCCTTAGCATGATTTTTCAGATTCTAATTTATTTATTTTTATCAAATCGATTAGCCGGGTCATATTTTTAATTTTAAGATAAATGAAAAAAGATATTTCAAAGTGAACAATAAAAAAAAAAATCAGATTAAATTTGACTTGAAATATAATAAGAAATTTCTTAAATAAGTGTAAATAATATGAAAGTTTATTAGATAAAATATAATTTGAGAAACATATAAAATTTCCGGTCCATATTGGATCGAACTATTTTAAAATTTGGATCAGAAAATTGCTCTAATTTTATTTTATTTTTTGGGTTTTTCCGTCTTTCATTTTTTAAATACTCCTAACATTAACAATCAAGTATGGGTGTATTTATTCTTAAATTTTTCAGTGAATTAAAAATAATTTACTTTTTAAATTAAATAAATATAAATGAATAATTATTTATTCACCTAAAAAATAAATATACTTTTATTTAGGCTGGAGGAGCCATGTCTAATATAAATTAATCCGAATTGAATCAAAGTATATTTTTATTTTTAAAAAAAAAAAACAAAGGGGCCGGTCCATCAAGAAATTGATTTGGACTCAGTGGCTTAGCCCAGAAAACTAGTGAAGGCTAATTGGGTGAGGGTGAAGAGTGTGTAAGAGTGGTTTTGAAATTTGGAGAGAAAAGAAGAGTGTGTTAATGGAAGAAGAGAAAGAAGCAGTGATGGTAACACCAGGAGAAGTGGTGGGTCGAAGTTGGGATGTGAAAGCCGGAAGAGGAGCATACGCGTCGCTTCACAACAACACCGTTTACGCCACCCTAACTGGCTTCCTCCGTACAATACCTCCGGCGCCGGAATCTCCTGACCAGGTAGGGTTTAGTGTTTAGGGCACAAAACAATAGAATGAATCCACCAAACAAATTATTAACTGCTTCGTTGAGCCTGTAATTATAGTTGTATACTGTTACTGAACTATATTTCTATGATTCTATCATACAGAGACCTACCGTTGAAGTAACTGGTCACAAGGCTCATGGACCTGTTCCAGAGCCTGGATCTATTGTCATTGCGCGTGTCACCAAAGTAATGGCTAGGTCCGCTTCAGCTGATATTGTGTGTGTTGGACAAAAGTCTGTTAGAGAAAAATTTACTGGCATCATTAGGTATCTATATATATCATGTTGTTTAACTTTTGGAGTTCTAATAATCAATCATGTTTTATGTTTTAAATATGTTCAAGTTTATAATTCTTGTTTTGTTTTGACAGGCAGCAAGATGTTAGAGCAACTGAGATTGATAAAGTAGATATGCACTTATCTTTTCGTCCCGGTGACATTATTAGAGCTCTTGTGGTATTGTTATTATTGCTGCTTTAAGAGTTTTAACAAGTTGATCACTGAATTTTTTTCAAATTGCTCTTATGCATCAATTGGTTGCTACTTGAAAAGCACCTTAACTCAATCCGTTTATATCAGCTTTCTCTTGGAGATGCCCGGGCGTACTTTCTGTCGACGGCAAAGAATGAACTTGGTGTTGTCTCTGCAGAAAGCACTGCTGGTGAGTTTTGTGCTCATATTCTGGGAGTTGCAGCCTCATAAGTGATTGTAGTTTGTTGCTGGTTCCCTCTAGTTTATGTTAGTGATTTATGTGACTGGTTTTTTATATAGGTTGTTGTGTTACTCAAGTCTAGTTGATTATGTGGCAGCTTTCTTTTTGGTTCCTTTATTTTGTCTATTTAGTGACTATGGTTTTTCTTCTGCTTGTTTTTCTTTGGGAAGTAATACAATAAGAAATTAAGAACAATAGAAGTGCATTTGGGGTTGAAGGAAGCTTCCTCTAAGTCCGATATGTTCAACTTGTACTATTGCTGGGTCATTGATTTCTCTTGATGAAAATTTTATTAGGATGACAGGTCTAGTAATGCTGAAACCCAGGGGAACTAAATGCATGTTTAAATTTGATGAGAATAGTTTGGATGTTCCCCAAAAGGGGGCGAACCGGAACAGTGGTAAAATTGTTCCTTCATGACTGAAAGGTCATGGGTTCGAATCCAGGAAACAACATCTTTGCAATTATGCAAAAGTAAGGCCGCGTACAAGGATCTCATCCACCCCACACTCGCTAGTCGGGTTTAACAGGGAGTGGTTTAAAAAAGTTTTGATGTTCCCCGAAATGTGTCCCAGATATCAGTAAATTGCATCAATTTATCAGTTAGTAGTAAACACAGTAACAGCTATCATTCAGTATGTGGGAATATGTTAGTAGTGCATGTAGGTTTTAGCTTATTAGTGCTTTGGATTGCTGTCATGTCATGATTTGAATTGGAATATTAATTAGTTATGAATGAAAGGACGCAACTAGAGATAATCTTGGAAATGTTTTAGATTCCACTTGAAATTTAGTCTGGTGAACTGTTTGACGTTTAGCTTTTCATGCATTCTCACATTAATTGCTCCCTTATGTCCTATGTACTTAATGCTGTTTCATCTTATTTATAGCAAGCACTGAAGTAAAATCTAATAACTGTATTACAAGTTGTATATTTGCAGGGGCTGAGCACCTATTATCAGGTAGGGATTTTCATATAGATGCTGGGCAATTTTGAAACGGATTGTTTCATTTAAGCTTATGTGACTGCGACACACCATGGAATGATGTTTTATATATCACACTATCTTTCCCTAGGATATACCCGATCGAGTTCAGTGTGCCTCAACTTGTTATACTTTCTTTCTGTTTAGGTGCAACAATGGTTCCAATAAGTTGGACAGAGATGCAGTGCCCATTAACTGCTCAGATTGAGCAAAGAAAGGTTGCAAAGGTTGCAAGCTGACAAGAATACTAAACTTCAAGCTGGAATCTGCTCTCCCTTTCATCGGAAAAAGGTCCTGTAGAAATCTACTAACATGCCTTGTTGTTAGAGTGAGAAATTATATGTGAGCATTTTTTTAGCCACACGAGAACGCAAGCTTATATTTTACTTTGCAAATTATTTTACATACAAAGTAGCACGAACGCAGGATTTGATTTCACTCGTGTTGCACGCAAGATTTTAATTTTTCTCAATTTATGGCTAAGCAGCGAATACTGTTTACAAGCATTGTAAGACATGTCTGAAACGCAATCTAATTTTGCGTTAAATTAGTTTATAGGTGTTCAGCTTCGATATAACATTTAAAAGAAAACAAAATAAAATATCAGTCTAGCCACACACAAAAGTGGGTGTTTTTTTTTTTTTTCTTTCCCTCTTTTCTTTGCCTTCTCAACAAAGGCCCCAACGTCTTGAGAAGTTCATATGCCACATGGCGACATTGAACTCAAAACTACATTTGAACGAAGGGCTTCAGCATGAACCAAGTAATGCCGGAATCAATTCACACCATTATTAATCAAAATCATTTTACATGTTGAATAACTTTTTAGTACACAACTTTCTGTGTAAGTGTATGGATTTTGACTTTTCATCCGTTCTCCATCATTACACGACATACCAGTGAAGAGGTGCGCGCAAGGACACAGTTAATGACGAGGATGTGTAATTATCTTTTTATACATTTAAGAAGTATCGGCTGTAAAAATGTATTGCTAGAGTCATTAATAAATTAGTTTTTGATTTGTAATGCACTAGAAAGTTGCATACAAATAAAAATGAAAAATTGTCTCTGATTAGAGACGATATCTTATTTGATATGGTGGTTAAATAAAGACGTCCCAAAAATAACAAATTGAGCGTCTTCTTTTTTCCTTAATAAAAAAACAAAACACTTTATCCACTAACAGATAAGTTACATGAACATTTAAAATTTTCTGTCGGAATTTCAGTGGCTGACACTGAATGTTTCATAGCTTCAATCGAATCCAAGTTGGGTAGAAAACAATGGCTTCAGCTTCGCTTCATCTCCTTCCGCCACTCGCCAAATTCTGGTCTTCAATAGCCCCTCTGTCCCATGGTTACACCCATCAATTCGCTTCCTTAACTTCATTCAGATTCGCCTCTACTACTTCTTCTACCAAAACCATTTTCCTTCCCAAACCTCTCGCCGTGCGTTTTTCTCTAACAGACTCCGACTCGCCCAAATCCATAGAACCTGACCCTCAAGCTCTTCTCCAAGATATTGCTGTAAGCCATTCATTTCCCATGCTTCTAATTTAGCGCTTTTCTTTTAATTCGAAAAAAAAAATAAAACTTCTGGGTGGGTTTCAAATTTCAACTGAAATCCCTTTTTTATTTTAAATTTCCTAATTTATTAGTTCATGTGCGTTTATGTTGCAGGATAGTTTTGATCTTCCTCCTGATTACTTTGCGCAGCTTCCCCGCGATCTTCGATTAGACGTACGTGCAGTGCAATCCTTTTTTGCTGTGTCTGCACTCAGCATTTTCATGTAATCCTTTCCATTATTAATTGATAACATATTTAAAAATGTTCCTTTGCTTTGGAATCATATTTGTGATTTATGAAGCTAAACGACGCCGCCTTCGACCTTTCAAACGGACCTATCTTGGATGAGGTTGGTACTTATTACTTATTACTACCTACTCTGCAAGCACAATTCAGATTCCAATTAAGATTGAGTGTTACAATGTTAATGGTTAGATGAAACAGTCCCTGCACAAGTGGTTTCATGTAAAAAAATTTCTTCATTGACAGTGAATATATTCTTGGAAAGTTATCTTGAAGCATTTGAGGTTCACATGTATGTAACCTAGTGCTAATCCATTGATTGCCTCCGAAAGATGTCTCCAATTTGTGTGTCTGGTGTATTTTCCATTCAAAAATAGAAAATATATTTAATGGGAATGAATATACTTTCTCAGTGTGGTCAAGAGTTGGGAGAGACACTGCTAAACCTCTCTCGAGCATGGGAACTTGCTGACACGTCAACCTCCCACTCTTTAGCGGCAAAGCTTCCTTTGATAGAGGCCAATTTGTCAGGCACTGCCAAATCAGGTATACCCTTGATCAACTTATCAATGAGCTTTTAATAAGGTACCCCTCCAAACAAATCCCTCCCCCAAAATTATAAGGGATGTAGCTTGAAGATCTCTTTGTTCTCTTTGCTGCTTAGCACTTGGCAAGCGTTTGGTATCTGCTGGAAGAAGGTTTCAATCAATGGGACAGTATGGCCAAGGTGAGCCACAGAAGGTATTTACACTACCCAATATGTGCTGGTTGTTCTCTGGCTTCCACGAAGTTAATGTAATGAGAATATGTTTGGCATATTTAGGGGAATAACTAACTGATATCCAATCAGAATGAAGGGTTCTGCTCTTTTGTTCTTTTAAATTTAAGCATTTAACTGGTCTTCTTGTTTGTTATACGAGTTCATTTACCCTCTATATGATATGAGTTTAGTTTGTTTTGAAATAATTATTTATTCTCTTCGAAAACATGTATTGAAACAAATTTAGGATACCAAGCTATTATTAGGAAAAAAAGAGGAAACCGAAGAACCATAAAATATTTTTCTGTAATCACTTCTTTATTGTTATCTTTACTTCATATTCATAGTTTGAAGTGCGACTACTTAGTCTCAAGACATCAAGAAAAATTCTTACATGGAAGTGTGTTGACCTCAGGTGAGGGTTAGCGGTTTTCATAATGCACCAAAAAAAAACCGGATTCGGTTTAGCAGTTACTACTTACTATCCAACCACTTCGGCCCATTCAGTGACAAGTAAAACTGATATCAACTAGAAGTTTGTATTAATTGATGCATTAACTTTGTATAGGAACACTTTTCGTTGCTTGGCCATAAATGCCAAAGATAACATGTTTCTGCAATGACTAATTGATAACAGTCTAACATAGTGAAAATCAATTTTCTAACTATTTGTTAGTGTTCAAGTCAATTTTCTTTTTGCTTTTAAAGACTATTATTTTAATTGCTAGGTCTGGGAAAAACAGACCAGGTTAGCAATCCCATTAGATCACCCCTGTGCACAGATTAAACAAATTATATAAATACACAGAATCCTTGTTAGCACATTTGAAATAGTGATTGTTATCTAAGTAATACTGATATTTGGCAATGTTTAACCATCATAGATTGCAAAATCAATGATTGCAGCAGGGAGAGCTTTATCTGCTAGTTCAACTGCAGCAATAGATGAACAACCCAAAGAGGAAACTAGGATGCTGAAGGTCTGTAATTAATCTGTCTCTGGTTATGGGAAGTTTCCTGTAATAAGAAACTAAAACCTTGAAACTGCAAAATTAGTAACCGTTGCCAAGTGCAGTTTGGAGATTTGCAGGTTGAATTAACACCAGATAAAGCCAATATTGGGGCTGTAATTGGATTTGTTTTTGGGTAAGTTTTCCCTGTTAAACTTGACTTTTTTAAGAAAGAGGCTTGAGATCGGGAAACTTAGATCTTTTTTAAACATGGAACATAGGATTCTTTCTTGGGAAATAGCTCAGGGAATTCAAAACATTCCCGAGAGTTCTTTGGAGTATGCAAATGACAATGCTTTGCAGCTTGCTAAGGTGTTTTGGAATAACTTTTCACTCACATCAATTCAACTTGTTTTTGTTGACTACTGATATCTGATGCCCAAATTTTCTAACTGTTTCGCTGCAGTCTTTAAGGGGAGCATTACTTGCTCTTTTCTACACCTCCACGATCTTGTCTGCATTTACTATGGTGGGACTTGTTCTACTTGGTATACAGCTCAAATCAAAGAAAAGTTGAGCTTTTGGTGCTTCCATCCCTCAGTTTTGCTTGTAAATGGTGTGGTAGATGCACAGTCTAAGTTTGTGCGTAATAGTATGCAATCATAGTAAAGGATCAAACTCAGTTGGAAACAATGCACATAGTAGCAATAATGTGGTCCTAAGCATCCAGATTAGGTTGAGCTTCCCTCATTCTTCCTGCCAATTTTCTCTTGTGGAAACCTTGTGATTTGTTGTTAAAACAGAACAAATCCAGTTTTAAATTTCATTTATAGCATTTTTTTTCTTATGGATGGAATGATATGTATATTTCATAAGTTCTGTTGTTTAACTTGGGAAGAAAAACAGTATACCATTTGTTGCCTTGTCATATTCTCTGTTTGCCTAATTAAGAAATTTTTGTTTTTAGACTTATGAATTTGTTAAGACCTGGGAAGCATGCTGAATTCCTTGCTGACCGATGTGATTGTCTGGTTCAACTTGTGGTAGAATATCACAAACGTATTCAGCAATGTCTATGTTTCCCCGTGTACCTTCTGTCATTCTGTCCTTGCTTGCTTTGTCATGAATAGATGGTCATAGAAAGAGGTTTTATCTCTCTACACTTGATCTAGAGTTTGTTTTAAGAAATGGTCCTAGAAAGTAAAACTCTTCGAGACTCGAAGTCAGTTACCTTTTTGCCTTGGGAGTAAACCATTCTGCATGACCTTGTTAAAAAGGTTCCAATCTAAATTGCAACTGCTCAAAAGCAATGTACAGGTGATAAACTACGACATGTTTCAATTAATTCCGTGTGTTTTTGAGAAAGCATAACATAGTTGAGAGGACTCGTTTATGAATTCAACTATCTAAAATTCTATATCCCATATCTTGGGGTGATCTATTGTAAATTTGATAAACTAAAAGGCGACTTTAATTGGAACATAGAATCTACCAAAAAAAAAAAAAAAGGAATATGGGGAACGCTCAGGGCATCCGGTACGTATTTGTAGAGCAAATTGCTTTATGCAGCTTATATAAGATTTGCGGGGCTCGTTTGGTAAATAAGATAGGATAAGGGTAGGATAAGTTTATATCATGTCCTGTGTTTGATGAGCATCTAATTAGTAATTCGATAAGATTATGTATAAGGAGAAAGAAGAAAGAAAAAATAAAATATAATACAATAAATACAAATATATTGGGGATATATTGGGTATCCAATATTGGTATTCTATCATGTTGAATTATAACCCAGCTCTCCCCATAGGATAAAATGAGACAGTAAGATAAGCTAATCATATCCTATTGACCCACCAAACAAGAGATAAAAGTAGGATATGATAAGTTATCTTATCATATCTTCTTTATCAGGTGCTCCAAACAAGTCCGTAGAGTTTAGATACTGTAGTAAAATAAATCGAAGCAGAGCAGGTAATGTGGTACTGCAACAGTAGAGTAACTCTAGTAAAATTACACAGTTTCATCAAAGATGTTAATCTCGTAGAATATTTCCACCCACCCCCCTAATTAGTCTTGCTAGGATTGAGCACTGACTGGTCATAAGTGAGGTTGAGGTCACACAACACGTCAGTGGTGTGGAACTTATTGCATTCTCTGTTTAAACTATGTGGAGACTTTTCGAGATGTTACAACTTACAATTGAATAATGGATGAATATACACATAAAGCTTCGTGATTGGTGCGAGTTTCACTCGTCCTTTTCCTTATTGCTTCATGAAGAGATTACTCTGCGGCAACTCGGCTGCTCACAATTGCTAGTTGACATGGCCAAATTGCTTTATTTTATTTTCAATGAAAGCATCATATAATTATTTTTTGTAATATTATCACCAGTAATGGTAGTTGTCAGACACAAATTGATCGGGCACGACGCCGCTCTGTCAAGATTCTTGTTTAAATATTTAGATACTTGTATATTCTTAAGGGTTTTTATATTGTATGAAGTCTACTCTGCTCTCGTACGTGTATGTGATTTATTTTTTGGGGTATGTACATCAAACACTTTATTTTCTAAGGCTGATAATGACAATCTACCAAATACTTTATAATGTAATGATATAGATTCATAGTTTCCTACATAATTAATTGGTCAAGAAGGGGATCTTGAGTTTGATGACGAGGGACTTAATGGTGGAAATAGTACATCCCATAAAAAAATGGGTTTGCTTTTCAAGACTTTCCAAGTTGATAAAAAATGTCAGGCTCTTATATGATATACAATTGCGCAGCTCTTATATTTAGCTTTCTTATAATTGATGATGGTTCCCCCTTTCTTCTCTCATGCTCGATATTTTAATGGTTCCGTGGCCGTAGATTCACTGAGAGGACAACTTCCAATAGGGTATAAACCCTAAAATAAATTTAATAATCACCAAAGGTTGCACATTTCCCTTTCGTATTAAGTTTTTGAATCTATTTTTGTCAATGTCATCTGACGCACTCGAAAATATCATTTTATATTTAACTCTTTGAAAATGCTAGATATATTTTTTTAAAGAAAATTGTCATTAATTAAAAAATTAAATAGTTGAAATCTCAAAAATTTATAAATTTTTTAAATTAAAAACGTAAATAGTTAATCTCATTACCATACTTCAAACTTTAAAGTCAACTTTAAAGAATATGACTAAACAAAAATACTATTACGCAAACGAAAACGAAGTTGTGTAATTGTCTCATGAGTAATGAATAGTTATAAGATAAAAATATGACGAAATAGAAAAGTTATCATGCAAAACATACTAATGGAGTTGTTTGATTGTCTTTCGATCTATTCGCGGCGTCATAACAACGTAATCGTTGTGTAATTGTCACATTGATGGCCTGCATCTATTCGCAGCGTCATAGCTTACTATTTCAATACCTATAATTGAATAATTGTTGAATATTTATAAAGAATATGACGACACAAAAATGTTATTATGCAAAAAACAATGGAGTTGTTTGATTGTCGATGCATCTATTCGCAGCGTGTAACATCTCGGGCACTGATGAGGGCGGGGAGTGATCGCTGGTGCGAAAGGGCATGTATAAGGAGCGGTTCCTGGCACGCTTTCAGCAATGGGGTACATGAATGAATCGAATCAATACCCGAAAGAGAGAGATTCCAGAGCCTGTGCTGGTATGAGACAGTACAGTCGGGAATAACTTATAGGAATTAATTGGTACTACCTACACTAACAAGATGCATGTACTTTTCGGTAGCCCAGAACGAAAGAACTCCATAGTTAAGCGTGCTTGACTTGAGGCAATTCTGGAATGGGTGACCTCCTAGGAAGTTTTCCCGGGAAGTGTGGAGTGAGGACAAAGCACGCTGAAAAGTCTCGTATTAGTGTGTGGGGACAGTCGTTGATCCTTGCAAGTTGCCAGCTGTTACACAGCGTGATAGCATACTCGTCGTATTAATTCATGTAAATATCGATATGTCAATAACTATTTTTATTTTCCTAAATTAGTGACGGAGGATCAATTTACTAGGTTAGCCTCTAAGGCCAATAAATGGGTTAAATTCTTACATTATTAAAGTAAGATAAATGTTATCCCACCACATTGAGGGTGTATATGGAAACCATTCTGTTCCCTGTCACTGTTTCTGAAAAAAAACAATTCTTTTTTATTTATGTGCCTTGAACAATTTCTAGAAAAAAAATATGTTTGATAACATGTTTTATTTTTATTCCGAGAATGAGAAATGCATTTGATAACACAACAAATAATAGAATAAAAAAACATTCCTATTAAGCATAAAATTTATTCGGATCATCACTTTCCTTTTTATATAGTGTGGTGGTGGTGACGGCGGCGGCGATGGTGGTTGTGGTAGTGGCGTTGTGGTTGTGGTGGCGGTATCAGTGGCGTTATGTTGGTGGTGACGATGGCAATAGTGGTGATGGAATGGTAGCGGCGGCGGCAGTAATGGTGACAGCGACGGTGGTGGTAGTGGTGTGGTGGTGGGGATGATAGTAGCTGCGGCGATGATGGTGGTGATAGTAGTGATAATGGTGGTGACGATGATGGTGGTGGTGGTGACAACAGCGGCCGCAGCGATGGTGGTGATAATGGTGACGATGGTGGTGGCAGTAGAGGTGGTGGCGGTGGCGATGGTGTAGTGGTGGTGGTGGTGGCGATGGCATGATAATGGTAGTGGTGGCAGCGGCAGTGGTGGTAATGGTGGCATAGTGGCGGCGACGACGATAGTGGTGGTAGTGGTGTTGACAATAATGGCTGCGACAATAGTGATGATGATGACATGGTGGTGGCGGTGGCATGATAATGGTAGTGGTGACAACGGTGGTGGTGGTAATGGTGGTGGCGGTGGCATGATAATGGTAGTGGTGACAACGGTGGTGGTGGTAATGGTGGTGGCGGCGATGGTAGTGGTGGTGGTGACAACAGTATCTGCGACGATGGTGATGGAGATGACATGGCGGCGGCGGCGGTGTAGTGGTGGCGGCGGTGGTGGTAATAGTGGTGGCGTCGGCAACGATGGCAGTAGTGGTGGTGGTGTGGAGGTGGTGATGGTGATGGTGATGGTGATGGTAGTGGCCACGATGATAGTGGTGATGGTGGTTGGTGACGGTGGTAGTGATAATGGTGGTGACGGTGACGGTGGTAGTGATAATGGTGGTGACGGAGGTGGTAGTGGTGATGGTAGGTGGTGACATGGAGGAGGTGGTGGTGGTATGACGATGGTAGCGGTGGTCGTGTCGGGATGGTGGTAGCGGTGGCGATGATGGTAGTGATGAAGAGTAATTGAGATAAATAAGTGTTTCTCATTTTGTGCCCAGGAACAAAAAAGCAGAAATTTTTTTATTCTTTTTTCTGTTCACCAGTACAAAAATTAAACCGGTTCATCCTGGGAACAAAAAAAAAACCGATTTTACCAAACGAGTTTTCTATTCATTTCTGTTCCCGGGAGCATAAATTAAAAAAAAAAAAAAAATTGATTCCGAGAAGGTTGTCATGCACACCCTGAATCTCACCCCTCTATACTATGCATTATCAATCGGGTCTCCACTTTTTGCCCACTCTAGCATGAAACGGGCCCATCTGATTATCTCTTAAGTTTTATCCATTACCCTCCTTACTCCTTGTTAATAATAAACTTCCTGTTCTAGACCGGGTCCTACCCGGACCAGACCAGATGTGGTTAAATGGGTTAGGTTTCTACAAGGATTTTAAATAGATATATAAGCTCACCAGGATCCCTTAACTTGAGGAGGAGGATTTCCACCTATGTAAAATTGTTTGTTTTTTTTTATATATTTCAATCGTTTCATTGTTTTGCGACTAATCTGATTCGGGGAGGATCTCAGGATTAAGACTTTAAAGATCTCCTAAAAATAATACTAAGGAGGATCGAATATATACTCTCACACCCACCTACTTAGTTCCCTAATACCAACTAAACTATCGTCATCATTTGGTGCCCTATGTAAAACTCTGATGTAACCTACCCTACAAATACATAGGTGCACCCTCATATATATTAGGGAAAAGTTTATCAATGCCCCTGTAGTTTGCTTAAGAATCACCTATGTCCCTGTGGTCTTTTTTTTATCACATATGCCCTTGTGCTTTATAAAAAATAAAAAATCACAGGGGCATATGTGATAAAAAAAATACAAGAATATAAGTGACACTACTAAAAAATGCATTTTTTTCGACGGAAAAATTCCGTCGAAAATGGTTAAAATTTCGTCAAAAATGAAGTTTTCGACGGAAATGAAGTCGTCGAATATCTCTTCGTATTAATTTTCGACGGAAAAATAAATGAAATTTCGTCGAAAAATTTTGTATTAATTTTCGACGGAAAATAAATTCCGTCGAAGTTTATCGACGAAAAATAAATAAAATTCCGTCGAAAAAATCTTGTAATACTTTTCGACGGAAAACAAATTCCGTCGAAATTTTTCAGCAGAAAATGAATTAAATTCCGTCGAAAAATCTTAAAATGATTTTCGACGAAAAACAAATTCCGTCGAAATTTTTCTACGAAAAATGAACGAAATTCCGCCGAAAAAACTTGTATTAGTTTTCGACGAAAAAAAATTCCGTCGAGAAATTTTGTAAACATTTTTTTTTACAGAAAATGAATGAAATTCTGTCAAAAACTATTGCGTCAATTTTCGATGAAATTGCTTTTTTGTCGATTTTTTTTTTATTTTGCTCTAAAAATTAATACCAATTTATGTTTTGCACCTGATAAACAAATATAATGAAAGTAAATAACATATCAAAATCATATTGATCTTAATATAATTATGTGTACAAAAGTCTTGTTATATACTAATAAAAAAAGTCTATGTACAATAGTCCATGTCATATACATCCAAACAAGATACAAAAGTCATGTTGGTGAATGACCTAGGTCCTGAGACGGGGGGCTGAGTCTCGTCGTCATCCTCATCATCTAATAATGCCTTGGGAAGCCTTCACATAAGCTTCTCCATTTTTTTCATTCGCCGCTACATCATAACCATGAGACTATCCTATTGCTCAACTCTTTCCTCTTGCTGTGCAATTGTACCTGTAGGCATGTAAAATATTTACAACACAAATAATTGGAAAAAACACAACTCTTCATCCACTGAGTCAACAGTACAAGAGCATTATATATTCTTGACCCACATTGCCTATATAATAGGTTATAAAAAACTCAAAAGTGCAAAAACTAAATATACATAAATTTAATAACATATAAAGAACACCAAAAGAAGGACGAATCGCCGTTCAGAAGACTATAAACAAATCTAACATAATATATAATCTTAGTATATATATATACTGCCTAACGATAAGTATATATATATGATGATTGTAGAGTAAATCACACAGCGTTGTGGAACTTTTCCCTATATACTACGCAGCGAACCCTTATATGATTATATCCTATATCCCGTGATTTCACTAATGGCCATCTGCTTCAAAGCTAATCACTAACCAATGGGTCAAATATCAAATACAATCCCCTCAAATAAGGGGAAGGTCTGTGGTTTCAAACAGACCAACTATTCTTGAAAATTGCCTCTAGTCAAATTAATAACATAAGATGAAATTAATGACAAGAGAAATGGAGAGGAAGACCACAGTGACATTACTGTCTGCCTCAAAACTCTGCTAAAAGACTATTGAGAGAAATATACATCTGAAAAGGAAGGATTTGTTTTTCTGAGACGGAGATAGTGAAACAAACGAGATATTATGTTTGTAAATGAGATATTATCCAGAATGTTATTTCTACACCAAAATCCCCATACCTATTTCATACACTTATTATTTTTTTTGGGGGAAAAAAAAAGCAACTTCACTTCCATCCTCTTTCTCTCACTTTTTAATGTGAAGAGTATAAATTTTTTTTTCTCATTATAATTACTTATATAAATTTAACCATATAAAATAAGGGTTAAAAGTTTTTTATATATATTGTAGGAGATAATTTTATTTTCTGCACATGTACATATATATATATATATATATATATATATATATATATATATATATATATATATATATATATGGCATAGAGGAGATCAAATTATGAATAACTTTAAATCCACAAAACAACAATGTACTATAATATTTATGGGAATAACATCTGTCATTTTAAAAGATATAACTTTATATCATTTTAGATCCTAACCGTTGATTTCTGTCCATCAACGGTTATAATTTATTGGATCAAAATTATTAATTAATTAATAATAAATTTGGCTCATTAAGTTTGACCCAATAAATTATAACCGTTGATGGACGGAAATCAACGATTAAGATCTAAAATGATATAAGGTTGTATCCTTTAAAAAGATAGATGTTTTTCCCAATATTTATTTAATATAACAATTAATAACACCTATAAATAGTATAGTGACGGTGTATTCAAGTAAACAACAAGAAAGTGAGGACAATAATATTCAAAAAAAAAAAAAAAGTGAGGACAAACAGTATGAGGAGCGCACAAACTCGAACCCAAAATATTATTGATAATTCATTTGACTTGAAGACTCTTTCTGATGCATTCAAAACCACGAACCAAATAATTGAAGTTGAAGAGATTAATTAAGTGCAAGTGGTCCTTACTCTCTCTACTATAAAATGGGCAGCATCGCTTCTGCGTTTTTATTCAATTGAATCACTTCTAAAAATACTTGTGTTTCTGTCTGCAACCACTCTAACACCAGCCATATGGCTTCTTTCTCTTGCTCAGCCACCGAACTCACCCCACTCTTCACTTCCACAACCAACGCAACCGCCGCTGCGAACTACCTCTGCACCCAATTCGATGCCATCTCGAAAAGGCTCACAGACACAACCTACGCCGTGGACAACACCTACCTTCTCTTCTCAGCCTATCTCGTCTTCTCCATGCAGCTTGGTTTCGCCATGCTCTGCGCCGGTTCAGTTCGAGCCAAGAACACCATGAACATCATGCTCACCAACGTCCTCGACGCCGCCGCCGGCGGCCTCTCCTACTACCTCTTCGGTTTCGCTTTCGCCTTCGGAGCCCCCTCCAACGGTTTCATCGGCCGTCACTTTTTCGGTCTTAAGGATTACCCATCACCTTCGGGAGACTACAGTTTCTTCCTTTATCAATGGGCATTCGCCATAGCCGCCGCAGGAATCACCAGCGGCTCCATAGCCGAGAGGACTCAGTTCGTCGCATACCTCATTTATTCAACCTTCTTGACAGGGTTCGTCTACCCCATCGTTTCCCATTGGTTCTGGTCATCAGACGGGTGGGCCAGCCCGACCCGGAGCGATGCTAACGTTTTATTCGGGTCCGGCGTCATCGACTTTGCCGGCTCCGGCGTTGTTCACATGGTTGGTGGCATAGCAGGGTTCTGGGGGGCTTTTATTGAAGGGCCAAGAATTGGCCGGTTCGACCGGACCGGCCGGTCCGTTGCCTTACGTGGCCACAGCGCTTCCTTGGTTGTGCTCGGTTCGTTTTTATTATGGTTCGGATGGTACGGGTTTAATCCCGGTTCGTTCCTGACCATCGTGAAAGGCTACGGTGGAGCGCGTGATTATTATGGTCAATGGAGTGCTATAGGAAGGACAGCTGTCACGACGACATTAGCTGGAAGCACTGCAGCTCTGACAACATTGTTCGGCAAGCGGTTATTGGTGGGCCACTGGAACGTGGTTGACGTGTGTAACGGTCTGCTTGGTGGTTTCGCTGCAATCACTTCGGGTTGCTCCGTTGTGGAACCATGGGCTGCGATCGTGTGCGGGTTTGTGGCGGCGTGGGTTTTGATTGGGCTCAACAAGCTGGCAGCGAAACTGGAGTACGATGATCCGCTGGAGGCGGCGCAACTCCACGGCGGGTGCGGCGCGTGGGGGGTGTTGTTCACGGGATTGTTTGCGAAGAAGGAGTACGTGGGGGAGGTATACAGCGTGGGGAGGCCGTACGGGTTGTTGATGGGTGGCGGTGGGAGGTTGTTGGCGGCGCAGGTAATTCAGATATTGGTGGTGATTGGGTGGGTGACGGCGACCATGGCTCCTTTGTTTTATGTGCTTCATAAGATGAATTTGTTGAGGATATCGAGGGATGAGGAGGGTGCGGGGATGGATTTTACAAGGCATGGTGGGTTTGCTTATGCGTATCATGATGAAGATGATGGGTCCACTAAGAACGGAGTGTTTATGATGGGTAGGATAGAACCCGCGAGCACAAGTCCCTCCAACTTCACCACACCGGAAACACAACGAGTGTGATGCCATTCCTGTTTTCCTTGATATTTTTTAAGGTTTATGTCTCCAGTTTCCTACGTGGACACAGCCACATCATATGAGTAGTCAACCCTCAAATTAAAACCCTTCTTTTTATATATATATATATATATATTGAGCAAGCAAGGGAGGAATGCATGCAGCAAAAAATGAGTCGTCGTCAATATTCTTATTAGAGGACTGTTTCCAAGACAGAGTGGTAAAAATGGAACGCGACTCTCTCTTATTTTGTTATTAAGAAATGAATGGTGTAATGAAATTATGTGTAAATTGTATGATTTCTTCTGCTGTAAATTTTTTAGAACGTCGTTGGTTTGATTTGATGTTCAAATCTAGAGATTCCCCCCATTCTAAACTACTACTCCTTCTTCTTCTTCTTCTTGTTTTTTGTAAACAATGATGTGTAAGAAATATTATTACTATTTTTATGGAAGGAGAAAGGTTTCTTGTACGTAATTTTTTGTAGGCAATTTGTTTTTATATTATTTCTTGGGTAGAGGTTAGTCTTCCTCTATCTCTTTTTGGGAAAAAAGACTAAAAATATTTGCCTACTAATACTATTACATTATATACGTTTATATTTTGCCTCATTAAAAAACACAAAGAAATTCTAATATAATGTGTATTTTTTTCATTTTATTATTTAACAAAAAAAGGATATGAGAGAATTATATAAGATTTTCAGTGTGTAAATAAATATCGTTCATGAGAAAAAATAGTAAAAATGCGGGTTGGAACATGTTTTTTAATTTGTATTATAAAAAAAATTATGTATGAATTATGTATTTTAAATTGTATGAAAAAATTTTGGTGAAAATGTAGTGTTATTATAAATTAATAAGCCATTTGAACTTCCAACTGTCATACTCGTGAAAAAAATAAATACCCATTTAAATTAAAAAAAGGCGGTAACTTATTTTGCACGTACAGCCATAATGTCACTATGTAACACCCAGTCATTCCAACTTTGAGATCAAAAGGAAATCTGCAGTTAACAGTAATAGGGGACACTCCAGTTACATCGCAAACCAACTTAATTATTCTTGTTGAAACTTAAATAAGATAAGGTTTTATTATGGAGGAATATTATTTACAATTTTTTTGTTTACAAATTATATTATGTTTGATCGATCATACACTAATCAAGAATGTATAATCAGTCATACTTAGTGTAATTTGTAAAAAAATTTATAATCGGATACTTCTCCTTTATTATTTGTGCTTTGATTTCTTATAATTATATATTTTGGGGAGTACATGATTATAATTAGTGACAAAGCCACTTATTATGGTGCCTTGGCACCAGCTAATTCTAGGGATGCGCATGAGTCGAATTGAAATGAATTTTTTTAAAAATCAAACTAAATTGGTTTAAACGGTTTGGTTTAGTTCAAAATCGATTCGCTTCTATTTGGTTCAAAACCGGTTCTATTCGGTTCAAAAATGGTTCGGTTCAAAACCCGTTCGGGTCGACCCTTTTCTAAAAAAAATAATAAAAAAATAAAGTAATAAAAAGTGGTTCGGTTCAAAAGTTATTCGGTTCAGTTCGAAAACAGTTTGGTTCAATTCAAAAATGGTTCGGTTCATGAACAGGTTCTGTAAAATTTGGTTCAGTTCATGAACTGATTCTGTAAAATTTGGTTCAGTTCATGAACTGATTCTGTAAAATTTGGTTCGGTTCATGAACAATTTTTTTAAAACTGATTATTTTAAGTGCAGTTCGGTTCGGTTCATGGTTCGATTCAATTTTTTGGTTATTTTGCATATCCCTAGCTAATTCTAAAAAATAGTATAAATTTTCTTTAAAAACTATGATACAACCTTAATACTAATTGAGTTTTTATAAATAATATAATCTTGACACCGACTGAATTTTATGTAATTGAGTCTTTTAACACCCGCTTAATTTTACTTCTGGCTCCACTACTTATTATAATATTAAAAAAATCTCATTTCAAATAGAGACGAAAAATAATAACTTTAATATTATAATTATATACTCTCTAAATTAGATAAGACAAAATGTTATAAACTATAACAGGAGAGCCGATGAATGCATAAGATAAAGTCTAGGACTTTCGGTATGGGTTTCTATGCTTGTCGGTATGTATAGTATATGGGTTTTATGTCTCTCCTTTTTTTTTTTTGATAACATTATGTCTCTCGTTTAACAGGAGAGACCGTTGATTTTCCTGCTGATAGAAAAACGGTGGAGCCCATTCTTTGTAAAGAAAAAAAAAGAAAAAAAAAACAAACACACACTTCGAAGTGTCAGTAGGAGATTTGAAAAAATTTCTGTCGCAGAAGAAAATTTAAACCCATAGTATATAGGAAAAATACTTCTAATGTTATCGCAGAAGTGTTTCACTCATGTGACAAGACTCATTAACATTTTTTATTTGAGAAGGATGTATTTATAATTTTTTTTACAAATTACACTAAGTATGACCGGTCATACACTCTTAGGAAGGTGTATTGGATTAGAATTTTGAAAGATTTTTTTGAGATAAATTTTTTTATAGATTTTAAAAGACTATTTAGAATTGGACGAACTTTAAATACTTTTTTAAAAGACATATTTTACAATCAAGATTTCATAAGATTGAATTTTAAAGGATTTTAATAGAATTTATAATATTTGAAAGGACAATATGAATTTTATAAGATTTTAAAAAACTATATGAATTTTTAACAAATATTTAAAATTACAAGAGTCAATAAAAATAATAATAAAGAAATGCAATGATATTAATAAAAAAGGTAAAACTTAATATAATTTTCTCAATCAATAAAACAAAATATAATTTTTAACAAACATTCAAAATTACTTATTAGCAACAACTCTCCACATATCTAAAATCATACAAGTCCTCAATGCATTAGCATTTTTTCATTCTTGCTCTTGGATTTGACCAATGAGTTAAAAATTATCTTCTTTATTTGGTATCAGAGCTATGTATATATGATTATAAGACTAATTTTTTTTTTATTTATTAAAATAATTCTAAATTTACATATAGAACCTAAAGTTCATGATAAAATTTCGTTTGAAATTTTTTGCAATTGATCTTGGAAACCTTGGGATTTTTGTTCTGCGTGATTAGAGTTTCCTAACCATATATCATATGCATGTTTTCATGAGTATTCTAAGAAACTTTCGAATATGAATTTCTGAGTTTTATTACATGAAAGTTTAAAAAATTTCTCAAATTATTTTCAATCGATACATTAAAATCTTAAATTGTTTTGGGGCTTTTGAAAAATAAATTTTTAGTTATCTATTGATACAAAAATTGTTTGAAATCGTTTCCTATAGCAAAGGAATTTTGTTCATGAATGTATTGTTACGAAATATAGGGTTTATATTATAAAAGTTTCAATCTTTGTTTAAATTGATCTTGTTTCATTCATGTAAAATGAAAATTGGTTTGAAGGTTTTATGTTATTTTTAATACAAAAATCACACTTTTTGTGCCAAGAAAAATCGCGACCCATAGCTTGAAAAATTATTTTTTAAACTTCCAAAAGCTCTCAAAAATATGTTTCTTTTGAGATTAATTATATAAGAATATTGTTGATTTGTTTTTTCTGGGTTGTTTTGTGGTAAAAATTGCTCAAAAATCTACTGTTTTTGAGCTTTGTCGTAGCTCCCATGACGGAACATGATTTGGAGCGGGTCAACCCACCAAAGAAAGAAGAAAATACTGCAATAGAGAAATCTCAAGAAATTCTAAGGATTAGGATGTGATTGTGAGAGAGGCATCTTATTTATATTTCTCACCAAAAAGTCTCACGAAATCCACACCAATAGAAAATCCACATTAAAATCGTTAGATTTTTGAATTCCACAAGATTATTTTTCCATTGTTTAAAATTCTGATTGAATACAACAGATTTGGATGGACTCTAAAATAATCTTTTAAAATCGTAATCGAATATCATGTGACTTTTTTTCAGTCTTTTAAAATCCTAATCGAATAATATTTTGTTCAAAAACAATCAATTAAAATTCTTTGAAATCCCAATCCAATACACCCCCTTAAATGAAGTATGACCGGTCATATTTAATATAATTTATAAAAATTTATAAATTTTTTTTTGTAAATATAACATTTCTCTTTTCTATTTATTTATTTACTTTTTTAAATAAAATTATGGGAGCTACCATCTTTTTGGATCAGCGGGAGAAGAGAAAGCTGTGCACTAACAGCAAATATAAACCCTGCAATATATACTCTACTTTTTCAAATCCAAAAGAGAATTATTTTTTTGTTTTAAATTAAATTAAAGCTTTAAAATTTTTAAAATAAATGTAAATAAGTTATTTATATTTACTTTTAAAACGATGTCATTCTGAATTGAAAAATTAAAAAATTGTAATGAAAAAAACTATTATAACTCTGAAATAAATTATAATTATAAAAATATCTTAATTTTCGTCCCAAAAAACATTATTTTGAATTTTAACATAGATAACTTAAATAAAATCCGTCAATTGCTGTTTGAAATCGAAGTCTACCGGTGATTGATGCATCTGAAAAAAAGGCGCAAGAAAAAGGATTTTTTGTAACTTTTCACTCCTTGTGAATTGTCGCCAAAGAAAAAACCAACTCCACTTTAGTTTTGAGCACCCTATATATATTTACTTCGTTGCAACGTCCTACGACCTACGGTTATTTACAAATTTAAAACTTGATAATAATCTGTCAAAATCCACATGTCAATTATTTTATTTTAATCAAAAGCAGAAAACGCAGTACTGTTTATTAATTTGCACTTTTTCTATTAAAATCTCCTAAATTTTCTCCCTTCTATATTATCCAGTTTCATGGAGGCGCTCCAACATTATTTGTTATATATCAGTCTATTTAATTGTTAATAACATATATGAATAGTACCCGTGGAATGAAATGATTAATTATAATAAATGATCCACTAAAAATATTGACAATTCAACAACTTCTTTAAATTTCATATGCAGATGAATTGTCAAAGATAGAAAAATAGCAATATATTATGTTAATCGATATATTAAATTATGAAAAATCAACAGAAAACTAGTTTTTTTAGGGATATTTTATCCTCTATTGATATTCAAACCAACCGAATTACCTAACGACTGGATCATCACAATTCACACCATACTGCAAACCTTCTAAGATCAATTAATGGACTGGGCCCATTCCACCAGTGGGTCAGAGGCCCTCTGCAATATGCTTCAAAATATTAACCAGTGAATTAAAAAAAGCTTGCAATTTCGCATGTTGTATGAGAAATTCAAATTTTCCTACAAAGAGAAAAAGGAGTGGGGCCCATCTTAAAGAAAAAACAAAAAATAAAAAAATGATTGGCACGGATATCGAAGTGAGAGTGGTAGGAGAGGAAACTTTTCATGCAACATGAGAAGTCTTTTTCCCTTAAAAAAATATATAAACTCTTAGTACTATTTGTAACTAACCAGTGTTATTAAACTCGTCCTGGGCATTGACCGGGTCAGGATACTGAGTCATTAGTCGGACTGGTGGGTCATTTAGGGGTGTTCATCAACTGATCTAAACCGCTGTGACCGAACCGAAAATCGAAAAATCGATAACCGAAAAAAATCGCAAAATTTAATTGGATTGGATCAATTTTTGATTTGGTTGGTAAAAACTGATCCAATCCAAACCAATCCAATAATTTCCCAACCCTACCCTCTACCTAATTGGGTCTTTCCCTAATCATAGCCCAAAAATCATATAACAAAATTTTAAACTCAAGACCCATTAACACATCATGTCGAAGAAAGTGAGTTTTTGCTTGATCTATGTTATGCTTTTTTTTTGGGTAAAATACATCATATATTTTTTTGACATGGGTTATTATTGTACAGTAGCTCTTTTATAGAATGAAAATTTAGGTTACTCCGTATCTCAGACAATCACATTGTAAATTTTTTGTTGGAGGTAAAAGATGGTAATTCAACTTTTTGTTGTAATATATTGAAAATTATATTATCGATTGCATAATAATTATCATACAAACTTTGCAAAGCCAATACATAAAAAGATATGTTATTTGCATAATAATCATCATACAAATTTTATGCTTTTCAAAAAATTGAAAACCATTTCAATTTAAACCGAATAAAATTGCATTGGATTTGAAAAAAAATCCAAACCGAATGGATGATTATATGATCAAACCAAAGGGATTGGATCAGATGATTTTTGCTTCCAAAACTGATCCAATGCAGACTGCGAACACACCTAGGGTCACTGATCGGGCCAATTGACCTGGATATATATAAATATATATAAAAATATATATAAATATGAACATATAAATTTAATTATATTCTCCATATTTAAAATGTGTTAAACAAGGTTAACTAAATAAGCTAAAAAAAGTATCCAATCACACTTTTACAAATTCATAAAGCACAAATAAATGAAAATGGACGTTATTACTATGTTAATTTAAATTACAACTCAGAATCCTCATAAACATATCTCTCAATGACATTCAAAAGGCTATATATTGCGAACTCATATTTTTCAAATTTATCTACATTAAAATGACATATATAACATTTTCTTAATTTATTGTTTCGCAAATTGCTTAAGTATTGCAAGCTAAAATTTGAGATCATTATAAAAGAGTATACTACTATAAAAAAAATTGCAAAAATTTTAAAAATGAGTTCTACATTTTTTTTTTGATAAGATGAAGTAATTTTGGTTTTTGATTTTTGATTTTTTTTTTTTAAATGCATGGCCCGACTGGGTCACCAGTTTTAGCCGAATTTGACTGGGTCCGATGCATAGCCGGTCGATACTTGACTCGAATCGATCCAATGATCGGTTTGAGGGTTTCGGGTCAGGCCGGATTTCATAACACGTAACTATTATATATTAAAAAAACGTGAAAATAAAGAAGAAATAAAGCATACATAAAATTTCACACATCAAATTTAAGTCATTCAAAACTTGCCACTTCCAACTGTTTTTGCATTGGTATATTTTCAAATTCCTTAATTTATATTATTGACTACAACTCCAAATTTCCTTTCCCTTTCGTCGATACAAAACAAAAAAAAAAAAAAAAAAAGTGGCGGAAACAATAATGGAAACAACAAATTTATGATTGTGTAATTAGGTACAATTAAAGAATGTAACAGGAAGAGATTACTCAAGTGTGGAGTAACCATGATAATTGATATATATAATTAATTAATAATCATGGGCACTGAGGATTGTTCCCAGGCCCACCATAGTAGAAGTATGTGCCCCATTCGTTGCTGTAGGATTTCTGGATGTCATAACAATTTGTGTTTTCAGCCAAGGTTGAGATGCTTTGCACATAGCTAAGACTGTTATCAACGTCCACAATCTCAAGGTTTCGGAAGTAGCTAGCTTTTCCGAAGCCATCCTCTGCAAAGTGGCCGGAGCCCATCTGGGTGGAGGTGTGTTGGCCGTTGGCCTTTGAGTTCACCACCTCACCACCCCACTCCACCATGGTGGCATGGTCTGCTAAGTGTGTGAATAGCTCTGCCGGCCAATACCCTACCAATGTGTTGTCACCAAAACTCATCCACCAATTCCCTACTTTTGGGTCCTAATTCATATTCACAACAACAAAAACATGTAAAAATTAAAGAGATTATTTTATAAGGAACATTTTAAAAAATAAAATAAAATAGTGTTGGATATTTTGTTTGGCTTTGGCATGAGTAAAATGTACATTCATTAATTTGTATGTGGAAGAAATATTGACCTTCCAGATTAGGATTGTTATATCATATTGGTTGCCAGCATAAGAAGAAACAGGCGAAATGGCAGCTCCAATGGCTATCCTACTAGTCGTTTGAATAAAACCAGCACAAAGAAGATTGTAACATCCCGTTGCTTGATACGAGTCACTCTGCATCACCCAAAACCTAATCATATTTATAAAGCACCTTTGCATTTTAATTGCTGCTGAATAAATAGAGCTAATTATAACTGAAATTCAAATTGTCTCTCCTTATCATTATTATTTCCAAAAAGGAAAAAAAGTGAAGAATAAGCTGCATAATGGATTTGGGCCCAACAGCGTATATTGACAGAGTTGGCCTTTGAGCCTAATCCTATTTAAGGGTAGTTGCCTGTTTAAGCGAACCCTATGGGAATACTAATTTAAACAATCGAAAATCAATCTCTTATGTTTTTGGAAAAGAAAAAAAAATTCTGCAAAAAAATAAAAATAAAAATAACTATGTACGGCAGATAATATATAGTTATAATATTAAAGTTGTTTTTTTTTTCTCTCCCCTCAGATTTTGTCGGTTAATGTAAGGTAGAGAGAAAAAAAAATAATTTTACTATTATAACTATGTACTACTTGTAGTGTATGGTTTTTTTTTCTTACAAGAGATAATTTTTTCCAGTGAGAAAAATGGAACCCTTAAACAATACACACATAATAGGAAAAGGAAGCCTCGTGTGTGTGGTTATTTTTTACTTAGTAAAATGAAGCTATTGTATTTTTTGTTGTTGAAGCTTTTGTGATGAGAGAATCAGAGAAATATATATATATGAGGAGGAAGAAGAAGAAAGAAATGCTGACCGTCCAATAAGTGAATAATCTAGGTCTGCTGTCACCGTAGAGCTCCGGACTGACCTGACTAGTGGAATAATAAAAGCTTCAGAGACTATTTGATAAAGTTAGTATTTCTGTTTCTACACATTGAGTGCAACTAAATAACTAATATACGCTCTCACAGGTAATCTAATTAATTCATAGAATGTTTGGTTTCTTCAAGGAACCAACTGAAAATGAATGTTCACAATAAAAAAAGTTGCAATCTAACATTGAATTCTACCGTTATGCATTGAGTTTATATCTGATTTTTAAATGGGAATTTCATATTCTTTCTAATTCCGTTAAAAAAAAACAGTTTATTTTCCTTCAACTTATTATTATTATTAAAGGGGACGGAGGAGGGTTGGAATTGAAATTAGAAGAAGTACCTGCCATCCAGCTTCAATGCTATTGAGATCAGGGCCATCGAAGGATCCTGAAAGGATCCAAATTTGTGAGAGACTGAACTCATTCATCGCTTGAATAGATGGATCCCACACGTTTATTGTTGCTTTTGCCCCGTATATCTCTTCTGATGATCCCGTGTACGCGATAGCATGCTGGATAAATATAAATAACATTTTTAATTAATTAATTAATAATGCAGAATCTCTTTTCATTAAAATGAAAATTACTAATTTTGATGACAAAAACTTTTTTTAATCACAATAGTGATTAAGATTTAGTGTGAGAAAAGAGAATATAAGTTACGTTAAAGTACAAACAAAGCAAACTTGATAACATTCAATATTGCAAATAGGAAATTGTTCTTTTTTTTGTGTGTGTGTGTACGTAGTACTTAAACTCTATTAGGAATATTTTAACTCAGAAGCTGTAATAATTAATGTATTTCAAGTATAGTACCACTAATGTAGCCATAATAATATAGTTAATTATTAGATACACAGGTAAGGGATGCACGCACCTCATGGCCATTGCTGGTGAGTACATCGGGGGCATCGCTGCGGCGAGAGGGAGGAACTCCTCGCTGTTTCTTTCCAAAGTCATACAAAGACTTTGCTCTCAACACGTCATGCACTGTGCTCCGCCGCATGGGAACCGTTCCCTTTGGGCATCGTGTCCCATTTCGGTGCCACATTTGCCATGCACCTCCTAGGGTACTTGTACTAATGCTACCATTCTCATCTATCGTCACATTCATCCCTCTTGGCATCTCCGTTGGCTCTTTCTGTTACATTAATTAATCAAATCATCCAGAATTCTAATAATATCAAATTGATGTAAAAAAGTAAAAAATAAATAAAATAAACATCATTTTATAAGATCATACTTCTTGGGGATCTGGAATAGACCGGAATAAACAGAAGAAAAAAAGAGTAAAGTGGGGACCAACTTCGAAAGGAAAACATAAAAATAATAATAATAATGAAATTAATGTAGTCGTACTTGGATCTTGTGATTCTTTAGAAGGGGGTGATCTAATGCTAGTTGTTTTCTTTTGTGAACACAATCAATGAGATCTCCATCTGGACTCTGGAATATGAAAATAAAAGTAAAAAAATTGTTAAAATAAAGAAGGTAAAACCAACATTATTAATGTGGTCATTAAAATCTCAACCACTGATTACATACACAAACAAACATATGGTACATAATATTAATAGTAATAATATGATTATGATCACCTCTATGGTGAGAACAGGAGGCTTGTTAATCTTGTCCAAATGCCTAGTAATCCTTTCAAGTCTCGGCCTACTGATTTGCCTATATCTTGTGTAATTTAAGGATTCAACCACTGCTCTTTGTAGAAATACGGCGATCAAGAAAATCAGAAGGAGAAGATGATGGTCATGAGGAGGAGCGGAAGAGAAGCACCTTCTCTTTATATCAACAATACCCATATCTCTCTTTCAGTGCCAAGAAAGAAAAATAATGAGTGAAACAAAAACAAAAAAAGCTAGAAAACCATTACTAGCAAATCAAACAGCAGAAAGGAAATTATATGACTTTAATGGGCATTACCATGCCCAAACACCTAACAAAAACAAGAAAAGAAAGTTGGAAAACGACTTATAAGGGGAGGGAAGGAAGGAAGGAAGCTTCTTTCTCTCTCTCTCTCTATCTGTATCGGTCAAAATAGTTATTAATGGTGAGGAGGGGAAGGTGGGGTGAGTTCAAATAAGCTGCTACTCAGAGACCTTCTTGAACCTTCAGAATCAAGATCATTATTGCCTGCATTTGATTCATGTATTGATGGTGCATGATGATGAAGCACTGCTACACATGCAGTTTAAATATTTAGATCAGGTGTTGATTGGGATTGCACAAACCCTGAAGCAAGGAGAGAATATAATTGTGAGGAAGAGAAGAGGGGTGCCTTGGGTAGCTTCAAAGTTGAAACTTATTGAAAGTATTATAAAATCCCAGACCTACCCAACTGAAACAATCCCCCTTTTATTGCACTTCTTCAATGTGTATCTGCCACCATACACTTTGCTATTAATATTTTGCTTGAAACCGCACACCTTCTGTTGCTCTCTATAGCTTGCTTTCCTTCACAGTCTCTCCATTCCTTTGCTTAACCTTTTAATTTTTAAAACTCTGACAACTTATATGGCACTCAATTGGTGGAGATATGTGCCTTTAAACTTTTGGTTTTTCCACGTGGGGCAGCCCCAACATTTCAATTTCATCGAGAATATATATATATATATATATATATATATATATATATATATATATATATATATGGGATAGGATCAACTTACACCATTGTAAAAATAATAAATCTTACACTAAAGCTTAACTGTTGATTTCCGTGCATCTAACGGTTGAGATTTATTGAGAATTAAAAATTAATTAATGAGTGAGACCTAATAAATATTAACCGTTAGATGAAGAAAATCAATGGTTAAGATTTGGTGTAAGACTTCTTATTCTTACACCGGTGTAAGATGATCCTGCCTATATATATATATATATATATATTGTAAATATTTGTTATTTTATTATTATTATTAGTATTTGTTGTATTGGGCCAAGCCCATTAGGTCAAGTATTAAGGTTTTCATTCTCTATAAATAGAGACCTCTTTATACAGATTATTTACACAATTCAATAATATTTCAAATACCCTTTTGTTTCAAGTTGGTATCAGAGCTCTCGATCCTGAGGGCTCTGCTTCCGCGCCTACGAAACCTTTTTATTCTTTTTTACGTCTCTCGCTGCCATCAGCCGCCACCGGAAAAATTTTTCTGGGGACCTCTTGGACCGAGAAGACCATTGCTTCACTGTTCCTCTTTCTTTTTTTCTTGTCTATTACACAACAAGAAAAAAAGCGTTCACAGAATCAACCTTCAAAACTTAGAACCACCGTACAGAACCTATTCATCGCGATTGGACCCTTTTTCCGGCAGATTCTTCACTCCGAACAGCCACAGAAACCATCGCGCTCGCCGGACGACCTTTGCCTGAAAAACGCAGCACCATCGGAGGTAAGACGCGCCTCCACGCGCCGCCCTTGTCTCTGCGCGTGAATCCCACGCGCCGCCAGCTTCACCAGCGCGTGACGGTGGTTCTCGGCTGCGGACCACCACAGTTCTGATCGTCTCTCCAAGCCGGCTCTGGATCTGTGCTCTCCACTTTGATCGGACATCGTTTGGTATTTTTTCCGAATTTCTTGGCTTCTTGGAGTTTGTTCTTTCACCAATTTCTTGCCTCCGACCAGATCTGACGTTGTTTGGTATTTGTTCCGGCCACTGTGTTACTGTTTCGGCCGCTGTGTTACTGTTCCGGTCAGATCTGACGTTGTTTAGTATTTGTTTGTGATTTTTTGGCTTCTTGGTGCTATTCTTTGACAAGTTTTGTGCAGTATGGCCTCTTCTCAAAGGAGTTCCTTTACAAAGTTTTCTGATGGTGCAACTTCTGAACCTAAGAGAGATGATCGATGGTGTTCTTATTGTAAAAGAACAGGTCATATCAAGGATCTATGCTTTCGCCTCCATGGAAAGCAAACTGTCTTAGAAAAGATGAATAGGATGCATGGTCAACAACATTTTACTTCCTCTAAAATAAATTCTGCATTTCGTCCAGATGAGTTGGAACGGCTCCGAACCCTCCTTGATTCTTTAAGTAAGCCATCTGATACTAGTACTTTGACTATGACTGGTATGAGCTCCAAAACTTATTCTTTCATTTCTTCATGTAATGATTTTAAACATTCTTGGGTTGTTGATTCTGGTGCTACTGATCATATGGCTTGTTGTGCTGACTCCTTTACTTCTTATCATCCTACCATTGAAACTCATACAATAGCCGTAGCTGATGGCTTTCATACATCAGTTACGGGTTCTAGTGACATAAACTTACAGCAGTCCTTACATCTTAAGGATGTTCTTCATGTTCCTAAACTCTCCACGAATCTTCTTTCGATTCATAAAATTACAAAAGATTTGAATTGTACTGTAACCTTCTATCCTACCCATTGTGTTTTTCAGGATCTCGCCACGGGGAAGACGATTGATAGTGCTAAAGAGCAAGGTGGGCTGTACTATCTGGTGTCACAATCTCCTGCAAATAAAGTAACAGATCACATCTTGATGTCTCATGGTCAATCAACTGCTGATTCTTTGATTTGGCTTCATCATAAGCGCTTAGGTCATCCTCCATTTAGTTTACTCAAATCATTATTTCCGTCATTGTTTTTGTCTAAGTCTGTTGAGTCTTTTCATTGTGATGTTTATGAATTTGCTAAGCATCATCGTGTGTCTTTTCCTTCTAGTATTACTAAGAGTGCTGAACCTTTTGATCTTATTCATTCTGATGTTTGGGGTCCCTCTAAAGTCCCTCATGCTTCTGGAAATAGATGGTTTGTTTCTTTTATTGATGATTGCACTCGTGTAACTTGGGTGTACTTAATGCATGAAAAGTCCGAGGTACCACAACTGTTCTTTCAATTTTATAAAATGGTTGAGACCCAGTTTGGTGAAAAAATCAAGAGACTAAGAACAGATAATGGTACTGAATATGTTAATCACAGTTTTTCCCAATTTATAAGAAATAACGGTATGATTCATGAACTTACTTGTGTTGACACCCCCCAACAGAATGGGGTTGCTGAAAGAAAAAATCGCCACCTTCTTGAAGTGGCTCGTGCACTAATGTTTCAGACACATGTACCCAAATACTATTGGGGAGATGTTATTCTTACTGCAGCTTTCTTGATCAACCGTTTACCCACTCGGGTGCTTGACCATGTAAGTCTTATTCACTCTATGACTTTTTTTTTCCCTTCTATTCCAATTATGAGTCTTCCTCCACGTGTGTTTGGGTGTGTTGCTTTTGCTCATGTTCATAAACATCATCGCAGTAAGTTGGACCCTAGGGCTATTAAATGTGTTTTTCTTGGTTATGCTCCTGATAAGAAGGGCTACAAGTGCTATCACCCTAGTAGTAGGAAATTTTTTGTTTCTATGGATGTTACATTTCAGGAATCTGAGTCTTTTTTCCAAGGTCCTCATTTTCAGGGGGAGAATCCTTCACCAGAAATCTCATCACCTCCCTTCTTTGAGTTTGAATCTTCAGTGTCTACTCCTTTACCTGTGTCAGTGTATCCTCCTCTTGGTCCTGTTCCTCCTGTGTCTGTTCCTCCTGTGTCTGATCCTCCTGTGAGTAATCCTCTTGTGACTGATTCTCCTGTGATTGATACATCAAGTACACCAGAGATATGGAAGATTATGACACCTGAGTTGGTATATCAAAGAAGGAAACAGCCCACATTGCCTCAGCAGCAACCTCAATCGTCTGAACCACTGGTAAGTCCTGAATCTCATATTTCTAATCATGATGTTAATACTTCTGATGACTTACCCATTACTACTGATTCTGATGATTTACCCATTGCTCTTAGAAAAGGAAAAAGAGCTTGTGCCAAGAAATCTTGTCCCTCCTGTCCCTCTTGTACTCAATACCCTATCTCCCATTTTGTTTCCTCTGCTAATCTTTCTGTGCAGCACAAAAGCTTTGTTTCAGCACTAGACTCTATTGCAATCCCAAAATCAGTACATGAAGCCTTGAAAGATGGGAATTGGGCTCAAGCCATGCAAGAGGAAATGAATGCGTTGGAGAAAAATAAAACATGGGAGGTTATTGATAGACCTAATGGAAAGAAAGCAGTAGGGTGCATATGGGTTTATGCCCTGAAATATAATTTTGATGGAACTCTTGAGAGATACAAGGCTCGATTAGTTGCCAAAGGTTACACTCAAACATATGGCATTGATTATGAAGAAACATTTGCTCCAGTTGCAAAGATGAAAATGGTGAGAGTCTTGTTATCCATTGCTGCCCATTACAATTGGGATATAAATCAATTTGATGTGAAAAATGCTTTCCTCAATGGTGAGTTAGAAGAAGAAGTCTACATGGAAATCCCGCCTGGTTTTGATTCTGTGAAGGGAGAAAATAAAGTTTGTAGATTAAAAAAGGCCTTGTATGGATTGAAGCAGTCACCTCGTGCCTGGTTTGGAAGGTTTACTAAGGTTATGATGACCTTAGGATACAGACAGAGTCAAGGAGATCACACTCTTTTCTTCAAGCACTCCCATAATGGGAAGCTTACTGTGCTCCTTGTATATGTTGATGATATTATTATCACAGGTGATGATTTTGTAGAAAAACAGATTCTGCAAACACGGCTTGCCTCTGAGTTTGAAGTCAAAGACCTTGGGAAACTGAGATATTTCCTAGGGATAGAAGTAGCTCATTCAAGGAAAGGAATTTTTATTAGCCAGAGGAAATATGTTCTTGATCTTCTCAAAGAAGCAGGAAAGCTCAGGTGTAAACCCTCTAATACTCCTATTGAGCAGAATCACAAGATAGGCTATGAAGAAGAGAGTCCTCC